TAACGAACGTGTTAATAGGAGAACTTTTTATAGAACTACTCCTCGTTACGAACGTGTTAATTGGAGTACTCTTTATAGAACTACTCCTGGTAACGTACGTGTTAATAGGAGTACTCTTTATAGAACTACTCCTGGTAACGTACCTGTCAATTGGAGTACTCTTTGTAGAACTACTCCTCGTAACGTACATGTTAAATGGAGTAATCTTTATAAAACTACTCGTAACGTACGTGTTAGTAGGATTACTCTTTATAGAACTACTCTTCGTAACGTGCGTGTTCATGTGTTTGAATTATTTGGCCTAAACCATCGGTGAGCCAGAGTGGAAAAAAAAAAATTGTATCTAAACAAATGAAGGATGCAGTTTCCCTAGGCGAGAGGGTTTGAATATAGAGGTGTATGTAACTATTCTCTACCACTAGTCGCATTGGTTTATGCGGCTTTTAAAGATGACTTAACAAAATAAACGTTTCCACCGAGCAGATGTTGGACTATTTGATTTCAAGAATTGAATAATGAAAGGTCCAATGGATTTTGCATATGTCAGAATAGCTTGAGTAAAGGAAAAATGAACTGATGTCAACAATATTCAACAGGTCCAAAATTCACCAACGTTCTTCAACTAAATACATGTATCATGGAGAGTTTTTACATATTAAATAATTGCTTGAATAAATTAAAACTACTTAACAGAAAATATGTCATAAGTTTCAGCAATGATATCAAATGGAACATTATATGTTAAGAAATTCCCTGAAGTTAAGGATCATTTAAGATATTTGGTCCAGCGACTGATTAATATCTTTCGTGTAATCAATCCCCTCCGCTATTAACTCGAAAATATAAAAACCTCACTATATTTACCTTATTAACAGTAACAACTTTTTGAGGGCTTTCAAATCGAAAATATAAAAACATCTCTAAATTTACCTAATATACATTAACATTTTTGTGAGGGCTATTAAGAATAGAAAACCTGATTAAATTTACCTAATTTACAGTACATCTTCTTGAGGGCTATTAACTCAAAAATATAAAAGCCTCACGAAACTTATCTTATTTACGAGAGATTCGTAATGAACATAACAAGGACTGTCTGCGGAAACATGTTGTATTTCCATGTTCTGTTACATACCAAATTGGTGTGTGTTTCTAATCAGACATGTGCTATAATATTCGTGCTATTGACATTCCACGTCGCCGGGCTCGTAAAATCAATTTCGAGAAACTTTGCATGTTTCCGCTCAAATTGTGGTATGGCTAAGGAATACCATTACGGGGGCTCTAGAATGTCTTATCTACAAAAATAGCTTGCACTAAAAAATATGGGTCAGACATACATTGACCCTAGTTCTACTGGATTTTGGCATCACTCCAAATATCTTATTTTTGGCAATAAACTTATTCACTACACGTTGTTAATTCGATAAGAAAGACGAGACCAGAAATTATCCCACAAAATAAATTTCTCGATCCGTATGTTTTTTTTATTGAACAGCTTTGCTTCCAACATTTCTTTTCCAAACTTCGTACCACCCGAAGTCTTAAAAACATAATGCAATAGTTACCAACTTGAGTCGTTAGGTCCCTGTTGAGGTCTGACTGCTGTTTCCTCGAGTGGTCTCCGTATACCTATATAATATATAATACCTCTCGTTGATACCGGCATGACCATTGAAGAAAGATGCCATTCAACCCTAATTTTCTAAATGTTTATTTCGAATGGTTGTCTCGAGTTATTCGGGGCTGGAGGAGAAGCGTCTGTTCTGGTCGGCGCTATAAACGAAAATTATTCGGATTTTACTTTTAGAAGGACTTGCAATGGAAATGTAACTATAGATAGATACCTTTATTTTCCCTTTTTTTATGAAGATTTTAAGGGTGTGAAATTTTAAGTTAGTAAATATCTCTGTTTCCATTACAGAAGATAAACAGCCATCCATTTGTTTGTACCGATAATCCTGTCTTAACCAAACACTTGGCCATCATAATGGCAATGCTGACACTGTTTGTAGGTATAAACTGTTCCCAATCATGCATCCTTCTTTACGGCAATACAACTCAGACTGCCCATGATAAACCTTTGCCATGTTTGATCGGATCCCTGGTTAATGCTTACCTCTGTTCCCTGGAGAGTCTCCCACCCCATACCTATATGGAGCCCCATATTGACATTAGCATCAATGATTCGAGATGTCATTAAACTGGACACGGATGCGAACAAGGATCCTATAATTACGTACACTCTAAATTAGATCCGGAATAATTATTGATACAGACGTGATCTTTCTGCACTCATTTTATATCTCATTCTAGTTACCACACGGTCCCTTGTGAATCAGGATCACAAGCTTTCCTTTAGTTAACTCGTTTCATTCGAAAGTATTGCTTGAACTTGAGAAAAATTCTCTTAAGTTACGTAACACGGACCTTCACGTCAGAAATGCGCTTACCTAAATTCTGGCCCCTAGCATTAACAAAGAGTCCTACGTAGAATGCCGAAACAGCTGTATGATGCAGTGTAATTCATTTTTGACATGCTGTAATCACCTGTGTGTGTGTTACGTTAATCTTAAAACGTACAAGGGGGTTGACTCTGCGGTCGGAATGTTAAGGTCTTAGGTTTGTCGTAATCTTGATGGCCTAATTAGTCTCTTTTAAGCAGTGGCACCATTTAAATTACACCCACTTTACCAATTATTTGATTTGAAATTAAACAGTCCTCCTTCAAAGTTTGAAATCAATTGGGATTTCAAACCTTTTGGTCCCTAGCACCAATGAGCACTAGAAGGGCTGTATGATGCAGTGTGATTGATTTTTGGCATGCGGTAAGTATCTGTTACCAAGTTTTAAATGTACAATCACCTGTGTGTGCTACGTGCATCTCCAAATGGAAAAATACAAGTAATATGTTTTCCTTCAGTTTAGGAACCTTGGCCTTATTCGAAATTCATTGACTAGGATAGTCAGCAGCCCTTCAGCTACAACAAACACCTGATATATCTCGAGACAGATTAGCCGTTCGGCGTGTCCCTTATAATATTGTGTATCTCCAATGTGTATGGCTGCTCTCTATCTGGAAATGATTCGGAAATAGCCGCCACTATCGACAAGGAAGCAATACAAATATTTGTTTGACATTGTGCTTTCTTAATTGTATTACTTGGTCGCGACAAATTCAACCAACAAGCCAGATAACATCAAACTCTACCGCAAATTTATCATGTTAACGTCACTTGCATAAACGGAACAATAAAAAAGAAATAAATTTGACCAAGCCCAGACGGGAGGGGATCGATTTGGACAGTCATTTAGATAGATAACATTGTTCAGAAGTGCAGCCGTCACTTTGCCATAAAAAGATAATAAAATCAGAAACAACTTGTCTGCAGTATAAATGCTTTGACAAGGGAAATTATAAAAGTGTATAGATATTACATATTGAATTTCTGTCGTAATCTGTTAACTTTGGTTTGGTTTGGTTTAGTATTGTTTAACGTCCTATCAAAAGCTATGGTCATTTAAGGACGGCCTCCACTGTGTACAAGATGCATGCGTGTAGTGTATGCGTGTGTGTTTTGGGAGGCTGCGATATGTTCGTGTTTGTCTCCTTGTGATAGCGCGGAACTGATGCCGACTTTATAGTGCTACCTCACTGAAACATACTGCCGAAGACACCCAGCAGGACACCCCACCCAGTCACATTGTACTGACAACGGGCGAACCAGTCGTCCCACTCCTAAATTGCTGAGCGTTAAGCAGGAGTAGAATTCTCGGCCAGGGGACAGAACCCAAAGCCTTCCTCACATGGGCGAACGCTCAACTAAAGGCCAAAAGTGATGCATTGTCAAGGGAGACATTAGGAAGAAGAAAGTTGTTTAGAAAGAAGAGAAAAGATAAGATCCCAGATTTAGTCGCGTCCTGCGATCATGCAATGGGGGCAGCAGGTACAATTATTACGCCCTACCGGCAGGGACAATCTGTTAGGTGTTATATTTCAAGAAATCAATGAAACACTAGCTATAGACTCTGTAGATCTATACTATTTGATTATGTTTGTAAATATTTGATTAACTTTTCATGATAAACGTTCATGTACCACTACAAAAAAAAAGTAAAAAATAAAAATAACTATGCATTTGGAACTAATTTTGGCTGGTATGACAAAAGCTTTGATAAATTATTTCTGAAAAAAAATTACTTAATAAAAAAAATATGTACTATAGATAGAATACACAAAAAGGACTAACAACAGTTTACGGAGTGGAAAATGCAACGCTCCCTACATGGATTCGAACCTGGAGCTCAAATTGTTATACTACAGCTTTAATCTACTGAACTTCCTGGTCATCGGCACTACCTTTGTACAGTCGCGTTACGTTTATATCCAAATGAAAAACAGGGGAGGGAGCGAAATCCTACAGGATGATACTCTAGTATTTTGCCTGCAGTGGGACATACTCCTTAAGTTAGCTGCTCAGCTCCAAGACAACAAATGGCCTGTCTATAATGTATGTTCAACAGAGACAAAAGACAACCGGTCAGTGATAAGTTTCAATGTACTAGCATTATACATCAACATTACATTTGTCAAGGGAACATCTTACTATACCCTCTCCTTATAGCAGTGGTACGTTACTAGATAGGCTGTCCCTTCGTTATAGCAGGTCGACCTACATGAGAATGTTTTGCCTTAGTGCAACTTAGTTTTGTTTTGTTGTAGAAGGTTAAACGTCCCATTAACAAGTTAGGTAAGTTAACGACTTACCTCCATATGGTTGGTTAATGTATGCGTTTGTGTACGTATGTGTGCTGGAGGGGGTATGTGTTTGTAATTACCTTTGGATGACATGGAATTCAGAGAGGTAGCATTTTGAAATCGACAACAGATCCGCGTTTCACAAGGATGGAAATAATTAACAAAAAACAATAAAATTTCATCTGGTAGATTGTGAACATGCACTTCAAATGTAAATGTGTATTTTAAAATGTATTTTCAGATGGTTGGGATGCAATTTGTGTACGCAATCGAACCGCACCTGAAAGACTCTTGGTCGCCGGAACTTCGGGAGTCATGGCTGAAGCTTTTCCGTGTAATGACGTATTATATGGCGAAAGGTATGAAATCAACACCGACCAAGACAAGTTGAGTTTCCACCTTCGGCATTATCTCCATCACAAAGTCAATAAAGGGTGACATCATTATGATTTGCAGTTGAAAGTTCACGAACCAACACCATTTTCAACAACGTTGCAATTTTTTATTTGACGAATATTGCAATATTCTCACAAGGAATCACCGAAATTTTGAGCTGTTTGGTCAAATGGAATGTACAGTTTGTCATATATTTTAATGACATCATTAAACTGTGACGTATCGCATATAAACACCTATTATTGCTGCCTTAGGATATGTTCCAAATATGTCAGTTAATGATAATATTGATATTAAATGACGGATAAGTATTCATGGATTAGATTAGATTTTTCGTTCGGTCACACTTGAATTCCTTCGAAATATTAATGAATAACGTATTTTATTGACGGTGCGTTGTTTTCACTCTCAAAATAGGCAGGAACTATTCGGTATTTGTTAAGATTACGGAATACAGAACAGTTGATAAAGTTAAAGAAGAATATCGAAGGAGAAGATTTTATTGGCGATGCATTGAGGAACCGACGGGAACAGGTTTTTATCTTCGTCTTTGTTCGGTTTTTTGTTACTCATTTATGTTATTTTCTACTTTTTATATGTTTAAAATCAGTTTATTATCAAAGGTTACATGATCATTTATTGAATTCAATATACTGTTTTCCTTACATAGAACACCTTTATAAGAAGACAGAATTATTCTTTTCGCAAGTGTTTACCACAACAGGCTATCGAGTCTTCAGCCAAAACATGTGGTGTTTATGAAATATTCACCACAGCCAGAGAAATAATTTAGTATACTCGTGTCGTATTTGGCAACTGGACTGTTGTTTTCCTTTTCCTTTTATTTGGATGGTATGTAATTTCAGCAGACAGGGTCGGATGAAGACGGATTACAGTGAATATGCAAAAAAGCTTATAAACATTGTGTCTCGCAAAACTGGCTGAAAGTACAGTCTTCTGCATTGGCAAAGGTTTTTGGCATAGGACCTGCAAGATATTAGCATCCTAGTATTTGGTTAGATTCGAAAATATGACTTACTTTTAATGAACCATTAGTTTTTTTTAAAGATATTCTCATGATCCTGATGTTATTTGAATTGTTTTCAAACTATCATTGAACGATTAGCTGATAAGTTTTAGATTTTCTTGGGTAGTGTTTGTGTGAAAGGCCTTAATTTTGATTATGATTAGAAACAATGAACCACATTGAACCGTTAGCTGTTTATGTTTAGACTGTTTTTGGTAGAGTTCATATTAATAGTTTTAGAGTATTCTTTGAGAACATGACACACTATCGCAAAACTATGTGCTGTTTTTTTCTTTTTTTTTCTTGGATAAATTTTATATCAACAGCTTTCGTTTAGAGTATGATTTGAAACTGTGACACATTATCCCTTAACCATTAGCTGATTATTTGTAGATGTTTGTACGTCTGTCTGCCTTAGAATTATCATTTGACGGACACATATGCAGATATATGTGATAACTTATGTCAATAAATGTTACACACACACACACACATATATATTGATTAATACGTTATAATCAATATCAATCGATATAATACATTATTTTTATTTACATGTCACTGAGCATAACACATGTATTAATTACTATTGTACAACAACGCGTTAACTATGTAGTGATAATTTATTTCAATGACGTTATGCATCCTTATTGTTGTAAGTTTCATTTTAACGTCGTGTAGAAATAAATTGAATTGTTAGTTTCGTTTCAAAGTCGTTCGTGTATCAGTTCCATTGTAAGTTTCATTTCAAAGTTGTTCGTGTTTCAATTTCACTGTCAGTATCATTTCAAAGTTGTTCATGTTTCAATTTCATTGTAAGTTCCATGTCAACGAAATTGTCCCTAAATGAAATAAACAAATGACTCAGGTTCGTGATTAGACGGATATCCGGCCAAGGTCGAGACATTTGTTTTTCAAAATGTATAATCAATTATTATTGATCACTGTAAAATACATATGAAAGTATGCATTGCAACGTGTGCCTTCTATAAATAGAAAAAAATACCGATGTAGTTTTAGATTGTAATGGAATTGTACAATACACGGAATCTATTGAATGTGTATGCTTGTCTTAGGTGTTGAACCAAGATCTTGTTTGAACTAGTCATAAACGAATTGCAGAGAATACAGGTCCTTCTTCACTCTTGATGAAAACGTTGACATTATCAGGACAGACTTTCTCAGTGGGGCCGAAGAGGGAAAAGAAGCCCTGATTTCTTCCCACAGAGAGAAATAATATATGTACATTGTAGTTTGGTGCATGATATGTTTACCTTTAAAGACTGTTCAAGGACATGGTTTGATAATGTGTAGTTTATAAACTCTATTGAATACTGCATAATGTGTATTCTCGTGTTTGAATTAATATTGCGAATGCGTGACGAATCGATTGCGAATTGTCGATGTTTTGAATATTAAAAAAATGTATATGAAATTTTGCTAGGTAAATAAAAAGAACATTAGTTTCGTCCTCACAATGTTATAATATCCGACAAACTGCTCTGATCATATTCGGATTTACTTTCGATCATTAGTGATCAATCTAGCATTCGTCTGGTAACCTTACTACGTTTCTGCTGTGTGTTGTAGCCATATATGTTTTCTTTCCCAAAGTCGTTTCTTTGATACAGCTGTTTCAATACAGTGTACCAGAAAATTTTCGCCTTGCGCCTATGAAATAATTTTTTGCCCAGTATTAAGTTTATCCTTTACGTTTAATTACTATGTCTTTTAGACTATTTACTTATATTCGCTGTTATGAAAAGTTTGCCCTCATTACGGAGAGCGACAAAGGCGTAAATCAAACTGCAGCGAAAACTGCATGTTATACAGTATTTAGCAAAGATTGACGGTCACAAGACTCCCGCTACCTGATATTGATTGAATAGGTTGATTTGAATTTTTTGCTTATATCAGTTCATAATTCATTGCTTTTACTTAACATACCGTTTGTGATCCCTTTTCTATAAACGAGTATAAATATCATTGAATGATATGGAAGAATTGAAAAACTTTGTAAGATGACGAGGTTGATTACTGTATAGCTGGTATTGTTCGCGAGGGATTTAATTTCGCTATCTGCCACACAAGCTAGCTCGAAATAACATGAGCGAATACCAATACCATATATTATGATCTCTATGAAAATATATAGTCATACCTAAAAGAAAAACATATGTTTATCGTTTAATGCGGAAAAATTGAAGATGAAACATTTCAATATAGCATTTAACTATAATTTCACAAAACATTTGGTATATAAATCCTATCACCCAAATGTTAGCGTCAGATCGTGAGAACGATATTTTCATCTGGCGATGTTGACCAAATTTTAGTCTCTGCGAAATAAACTGACAACAACGATATATTAGCCCCTCCTTCTCCCCATACGAATAAACAACTATACAGTATATATTGTTATATATCACACATTAGGTAACCTACCATTTGTTTAAGACAAACATTTGTATGTTTTAATTGGCTAATTGATTGGATTAACGTCCTTGTTTCAGTTGTATGAAATGTTATTTTGACTCTCTTTCTATTGATAAATCGTTGCTGTAAGAATTAAATTGTAAAACTACAATTAAATAGTAAGAATCAGAACATGAATACATTACGAAAATCTATCGAAAATCAATGGAAAGTTACCAGTGAATGTTACGGTTTTTCAAGCCAATGAAATACCAAAAATGAAACCTTTCTAACCTAATCCCGCAGGACACGTCATTATAGTAATAAAATAGTAATAATTCGAGGTTCTTATATAACGCTTTATCACAACCTAGTTCGTAGGTCGTCGCAAAGCGGTTCAGAAAGTCAGAGAACACATGTTTTCGGAAAACATTGGTCTGTTGAAAGAAACAGAAATACAAAATCATCACTATATTCTAATAAAAGATATCGTACATAATTATATAATATGTATATAATACATTCATAGAAACAGTCTCAACATGAACCTTATACCGAAGCACATGATTAGGTAAGTTTCATTACACTGTTTGTAATCATTGTACGTTAATCTGGTATTGTGCAAACAATGAAGAAGTAAAATAATTGACACGTAAGAAATATGTTGCAGAGTTTTTATTTATATTTTTGCCTTTAATTTCGTTTTCCTTGAGCAGAGTCGGACAACTTTTGCTATTATAACTAAGTTTAAAACAAAATCCATTTTAAAACTTCAACAAGATGATGATTGTTTAAAAGAAAGTTCACAAACTGAAGTCTGAAATTTATGTGTGTCATTTTTACGAATTATTATAAACGTGCATGAACAAAGAATACTTGCAACGAACCTACTTGGATTTTAATACGTACAATGTGTTCACATAGATGGTTATTGAAAAATCAATGCTTCAGTTTATATGTACCTTACTTTTAGTAACAAGTCAATAGGCCTGACCTGTAACGAGAATTCAATTTGTCTTACTAATTAATGGTATATTAAGTCAATAAATACTGTATGCCGGGAACTTTTCGCCCAGTCAAACTTTCGACCTTCGCCGGTAAAATTCATATTTTCCCTAGTTATAATTTCGTCTTATGTTGTTTATTACTAGTTAATGTGATGATAAATTCGCTCTCGCTACGGAGTCCGAAAAAGGCGAAAATTAACTGCGGCGAAAATGTTAAGGTATGTAGTACAATGATATGAACTTAAACGACGTTAAACACATATAATGCCTTCGTTTTTTTGATGCAGTTACATTGATGTATGTACATGAATAGGTTTCATATTCATTATTCATATTCTAATATCAAATTTATATAATTAAAATTTGAATTCCGTTATATAATGCATGGTAACTCTATGAGAGAAAGAGAGAAAAATGTTTGGTTTGGTTTGTTTGTGTTTTGCGTCCTATCAACAGCTATGGCCAGGTTTTGTGGTGGAGGAAAGCCGGAGTTCCCGTATTAAAACCAACGACCTATAGCCAGTACCTGCCCCACGTAGGACTTGAACCCGCGACCCAGTGGTGGGGGGCTTGTGGAAGCAGATTGTCAGACGCTTAATCACTTTGCCACAGTGGCCCAAAGAGTTCACAATGAATAAATGACGGATTGAAAACTCATGAAGATTCGGTCCGAGATTTGTGTTCAATAATTAGGGAAAGAGATTAAACACAGCATGTCAGACATATGAAGCAAAAAATAAGCTTATTTTAACACAAATATAGATTTGTAGCCATGAGCAATGTATCACAGTACAATGAACGGGAGATAACTTTTACTACCGAAGCACCATTTTCTGCATCATTTGTATGAATTCTGTCAGTTTGAGCGCATCTGGACAATTGAGATTATATAGCGTCCATTTGAATAGATTTTATTTGTTTTTATTTTTCCTGGAACGGCTCGGCGAGTGTTATTTACGGATATCTTAATTGCGAAAAATATGATGAATATCATTACAATCTTGGAAAAAGAAATGGAACTAACTATTTCAAGGCGCATATTTGTGTTTGATCGTGATTATTGCAGAACTAAAAAGCTAACAACCAGACATTTATACTGCAGTGCAAACTGATATAAAACGTTTTGTATGCACCTTTTTGTAAACTATTAAATACACTACCTATACACATTCTACATTATTATTATCATTTTATCCGACCTTATTTATTTCTGCAAAAGGACCATTTCCCCTGATTTTACCGACACATTACCACATCCAACCAAATTGTTCTATAACCGTTTCTATCCGATCTAGGTCAGTTATGACTGCAGTGTTGTTCTTTCGACGACTAGTATATTAACCTATTTCTACTTAGATACAATTGTTTCTTATGTTTTTATTGGTTTTTATAGACAGAAGAATCAGTCCATTCGTTCATTATTTGTTTGCACATCTTTAAGTTAACAGAAACAAAGTGCATTCTTTTACATCAACCATTTTGCAAATTATACCCTTGTGGTAACATGTAAATAAGACTAATTTGAGGTTATTATACACTGCTTTATCACAACCTATGTCGTAGGTCCTCTCAAAGCGGATCACACATTATTACCCGTGGTTATAGGGCTTTAGCTACCAATTTCTTTCTCAACTCCCTGGGGAGCATACACCCGGTACTGCCATTTAGGCTACTCAATCAAACGAAAACCAATTAGAAAGCAAGGTTGATATTATTATTAACAAAGTTTTTTTTGATTTTTTTAAAATGTATTAAAATTTGGTTGTTAAATTTATAGAAAATATTGAGTAATTGAAATTGTATTTAAATCAGAAATCTGGACTATCTTTTATATTTTAGAATATTTTATGGAAAAGGGTAACTTTCAGAAAACTTTGTCGCAAATTTGCCAACATGAATGAAACTGACCTGTTAGAGGATAAGCATTCAAGATAAATCAAACAACACTATCATATCCGGAGATCTATGCAGCTTAGAAAGGAGGTGACAAGAAACGGCTTTCATTTTACACTCTGCATTTTACATTGTAACAGGGAGGCAGTACTGATAAACAATTGTGCCGTTTAAAAAGAAAATGACGCAAGAAATAATATAATTTTCAAAATTTAATAAGTATATCATCACAAATAAATTGTTCATCAAATATATATATATTGCACTTATCATATGTATAAACGTTGCATGGTTACTGATCACATTTACAAAGATTCTGTCGACGACAGCGCCAAATTCAAACTGAAATAATCCGCGTATTTACTTCCGGTGAAAGTTGTGATTTGTCCAACTTCCTGTGTGATTGCTTGTATTAACTGTACCGTGTGACCTCCATCTCGATCATCCCCATATCCAGACTGTCGTTTATATGACATAACTGTCGGGTTTTCTAATGTTTTTAGTCCTTCTAAAACGAGGCCTGACTCCCCTGAACTCGATGTCTGCATCTGCAAAATGCAATATAACAAATTTAGTTCAACATCCATGTTTTCATATTATTTTAGAAATATGCAATCATTAATATATTGCTCCTATTTAGGTTCAAAGTTGTGCTAATTGATACGAGGAATATGAACAAAATGACGGTATTACTTAATATCCTTTAAACTCAAATACACCGAATGTTTAATCACATACGACTATTAAAATTTCAATTTTTCCTGTAATGTATAAGCATTGCTACATCTCTTGGCACATCAGCCTTTTATACTTCAGCCATTATATTTCCATTTCTTGATCTTTGTACGTCGGCATTTTATCCCTCTTCTGCCATTGGACCTGTATGACTGTTTTGTGTTGATTGTTAGATTAAATACATAAATTAAAAAGAAACTTACCATTATAATTTTACCTATTCGGACTCCATCTTTGAGCTGAACGACCCAGCTAACTTTCTGGTAGCTGGACAGGACTAATGTTATATCTTCATCGTTCTTTGCTCCTTTTAATTCGATAACTGTTCCCTCCGAATCTCCCATTCCAAAGACACTGAACACGTGAATGGCGTTTCCTTCCAATCTCTTTTGCTTACAGCTGTACAGTGACATTCTCTCGCCATTTTTAGAAGCCTGTGCATGAGTGACGTCATCATTTTGCATCATACATCCGTCAATATCAGCTGCAAAAGTAAAAATGTATACATACAAACATTATTTTTCAAAATTATCATTTTGCAAATGTTGATGAATACATTAAGCTCATTTGGATATGACATGTCTAATACTGATACTGCAATTTTTTAATATTATGCAAATTATGTTATTGTTGTAATTTGTAAATGAGCTTTTTCTGCTTTGTTCCTTTGCATGTATGTATGTATGTATGAGCTGACAATTGAGAGCACCGCTGCAGAATCGGGGGGTTCCCTCTTTGACTTATGGTCCTTGGTACGATTATATGACCCCAAGGTAGCAATATTATGTTAACAGAAAAAAACTCATAGTTGGAACTTCTACCAAAACAATCAATGTGCAATTTCAAAACGTGTATATTCTGAACACAGCAATGTTACTCTTATTATGGTCGATTTAGCAAGGCTGACGCTAGAGCTGTAGAACTACTTACGTAAGCAGGTATCAGAGTTGTACCCGTATCCTCCACACCTACAAACTCCGTCCAAACATTTTGATCTAAACTTAAAAGCTGAAAAATCCCAGCAGATTTTGCGACACGGTGTCCGATGGAAATTCATTTTGTCCCCGACAGCTGTAATAACAAAACAAGAATATGTTTTGAAACTCGAGAATAACTGAATGCTGATAAACCATGATAAATTCAATATCCTTTTGATATGAGGATATAACGTAATAAAAAGAAATATAGATGAAATTCCGTACCTGGAGTATATGGAATTCCTCTAAAACATTGAAATTGCGCAAATTAGGGGTGAAACAAATTATCTTTTTCGACTATCGCGTTACGCAACTAATTTGAATTCTTTTTAAAGGGAAATCAGAAAAGGAGTTATCTTAAATCGGAGAGCATCTTTTCGACCAAGGTTTGACACAGTGTCATGCTTTTGTCAACTTACATTGTGTTTTGGTAATTGGTTGTGTTGATACGCGCTCTTCTTCGTGTTCTTGAACATCACTAGCATGTTCTTTCATATCCCACTGTTAAAGTAAAAACATTGTCATAATATTATTACTCAATTGCTTAATTTTGACTGGAAATAGACGTTTCTGTGCTATTTCTCATTGGCATGTGATAATCGAGGTCACATTTCTGTGTGGTTTCCCATTATTATGTGATAATCGAGGTCACATTTCTCTGTTTGGTTTCTCATTATTATGTGATAATCGAGGTCACATTTCTGTGCGATTTCTTATTTACGTTCGATATTCGAGTTAACTTTTCTGTGTGGTTTCTCATTATTATATGATAATTGAGTTAACTTTTCTGTGTGATTTCTCATTATTATGTGATAATCGAGGTCACATTTCTGTGATAATGAGAGAAACGTGAGCACTATTTATCATTTACTTTCGAGAAACAAGAGGACAGCCCTAAATGAATTAATATTAATATGTACCAAACGGCATCAGTTTACTGTTAGATTTCTAATAATAAATATTTGAAACGACATGAACTTTCTGTGGAAAATTTGACAAACCTGCTGTACAGGAGGATTTTGAGACGTCTTTCGTAGAAGTTCCCAGACAGCAAAGGCAGTAACAAATGCCGTTATCACGACTACCAGGCCGCATATCAACCACAGTTTCCTCTTCCTTCTTGTCTTTTCGTCTGTGTCCTTAGGTCGATTACAGCACGTTTCCAAGCAGACACGTGACCTCTGATACTCCCTCGTCAGTTGAACCTTGGTTAAAAACACTGACCGAATATTGGAAGGAAGCGTCCCATCGTCCACAGAATAGACAAACTGAGGGCAATCATGTAGCCCAGGGGAATCCTAAAAAAAAGAGGAATTTTATTAAAAAAAATGAATAAATAAATAGAAAAAATTGTATGAATAAGGTTTTGGCAACAAATACAATACGATGCAATACTGTATACTTGGAAATTTTAGCTGCATTTTAAATTTCGCCTTTTGCCCCATCCAACTGGTGTAATGTTTAAATATAAGCGATGTGAACGTTACGTCATTAAGACATCTTAACAATTTATCAAGGTTATTGCTGGTGAACCCGTTGCCAGTATAATGTGACCGGACGGAATATTGTGCTGGATTGCATTCGGCATAGTATTTTAATGAAGTAGCACTCTAAATTCGGCAGCAGATCTGAGCTATCGCAATGAGGCAAATGCACCAAGATACCACCCGCGCACAGTTGATGCTATTTCCTCTAATACTGAACGTTAAGCAGGGAATAACAACTATCATTTTGGTATGTCCCGACTTAGGGACAGAACCCATTCACTCTCCTAAACTGGGCGAATGTGTAACACAAATGTGATTTAAGACGCTAAATAATAAGAGGTAGTTAGAAGTGGAGAGAAAGATAAAGATCCCAATTATTGCAATTAGTTAGCAGATTTATTTTGGTCGGTTTTTTGTCCCCAAGTAGAGGCCACAAAAGCAAATCCCCAATTATGCAGGGGTTAAGCACATTAGTCGCCTCTTACGATACATGTCGTGGGTAGCATCATGTGTATTATTTTCTCGTTCCCCGACTTGCAGGATTGACCTTAGCTGTAAACAGAACGTTAAACAATATGAACCAAACCCATCATCCCGTACCCTCCCTGCCGTGAAACCTTGCGCCTCGTAGAGGTGGCTTAACCGTTTTCTTGTCGAAATGCTTAAACAAAATGTATATCCCTACTACACCCCTGATACATAAAGTGAAAACCTGTGCATTCTTAAGATACAGTTCATGTTATATCAAGTGGATATATATAAGTTCAATAAAATGCATTTCGATTTAGAATGGTGTGCATTCTGGTTATATTATTTAAGAGTATCAAATGATCAATTCCGGCGTCGTCATCTTTAACAAGAGGATATCGATATCAGGTACATAGGACCTGGCTAGATTTAAGCTCCCGAAAATGGATGTTCCTTATATAATTAACAGTTTAGCGTATACCAACTAAAAGTTTGAATCTCATACCTTTGCTGCTAACTTGTAAACCTGCGCATGCGGGGGAGTTTAAACTAATTATATTCACAAGGCGTATTTAAAATATCTCTTATTACCTAATATAGCTTCTTTGGTATTCTGTGTATCTGAAGACGTTGCCGTGTATTGTTACCAGTCAGTCAAGTGTAGGTTGACGCTCTGCTATGATTGAATGGTTCAGATGTGGGAGCTTTAAGGCAATCCTATTTAACCTTGACGGTAAGTGTATATATACAACAGGGTCTTTTCAATGTGATGTGTATTACTGGCGATTTTATCTGATAAACAAATTGTTAAATTGTGGGAAATTTTTCTTCATTTCGTTTTAAACTGATTCTCACTGGAATGGAATTTGACATTGCAATGCTAACAAAATTATATTATTGAAGCAAAACTAGTTTAAGTAATGTTTTCTTCAATAAGTTAGCAGCAACAGAAAGATAGGAATGTACATGTATCAAAGTTATGAACCACACCAATTGCTCATTACATGTAATGTAAACACATTTTATAACTGCTGTAAATACAATTAAAAAGTGCCATAGGGTTGTTAAAATAATCTATACGGAAACCTTCGAGAATATGATTTAAGATTTAAAAAATATCTTGTCTTCAATATATGTACAAACCCTTTTTATATTGACCTTTACCTAAATTCTTGTTCATAAAGTTATTTGATATCTTTTCAAAGTTTTTTCAATTTCATCAAGTTTTCCCGTCAGCAATGTCCACTGCACTTAATTTGGAATCTTTTTGAGGTCTTTTTTTTTTATTAATATTAAAGTTAATAACTTGAAACTGACAAGAGGTTTGTTATGTGTGACGGCATCGAGGTGCACGTGTTATCAAAACTGTTCATCTCTATTACTCAGATAAATGTAAACAGACCGCTTCGCTTCGTCACGACTCTCTACCGAGTGCCTAAGAATAACTATATGCTCATTTCCATATCAAACCAAGCTATTTATAAAACAACCTTCTGTCTAGTTGGTCCTCAAACACGGAAATGTGTACAATTATTTTTATGACACAACATATTTTTATACTACGTAGGAATGCATTAAGGTATTCAAATGTTCCAAAACATACCTTTGTATTTTATCAATCGGCAGTTAAGTGTTTATGGCCTTAACGCTAACCTAAATATATGAAATGTAATAGAAAAACAAGTAAACACTTATACTGGTTCAGACACTGATTCGTAATTGTCAGAGGAGATCAAAGTAACATTGTGTTTACTATCACAAGACAAAAGTGTCTAGAAATAGTATAAAGCAGGATTACTGGAAATGAATAATTAATTAAGTTAATAAATTTTAGCAACTCACCTTTAATGGAATGCTGTATTCCTCATAATCTCTTTTCTCTTCCATATCAATGAATAATATATAACTGAATATAATGGTATCACAAACAGTCCTGTTATACCTTATAGTGTATATTAATAATATATGAGATATAGATGTTGACACCGTCCGTTATAAGTCGTCTGATTGAGGTGCATATTCCAACTGAGCAGCTTTTCTGTATTCCTGTTTATTTATTATTAACGAAGGCCTCGTAAAAAAATCTGTACATTTCAGGTAATTAATAAGATGGATTTGATACGACACTTAAATCGCTTCAGTCGTCAGATGGCAAACATCCCTCATCTGTTGTTGTAGACCGCACGCTTCACACATGTTGTTCTACCTGCCGATCTCTCAACAGTATTCTTATCACCTGCTGCTTCAGCTCCAACTCGTATTTCAACCACAACAGGTGGAAGACGGACTACCTGCACAGGTAAAATCAACAGGTAAAACGGGATAAGGCAATTCGAACAGGTGAGAAACGAGTTACCTTTAAAAGGTGAAAGCTAGATTGGAAAGAGGCAATTTAAAAACTGATTGGGTGTATTTTCGGTTACGTTCTAGGTCAGTGAATATGCCTTTTATCCCTTTCCAGTGAGCGTATGGGATTATCTGATTTGACAGCTATGTTAGGTTGTAAGATTGGCTTTGGCCCGTTTTTGTGAGTCGTGATGTACAACCAATATTTTTGAAGACTGCTATTAGCTATATGCTTTTAACATGTACGGTGCGAAGCTTCTACGCCCGACAGGCAAAAATATTAGCTATCTTTACACTATTTACATAGTATTTAAAGTGCATTACTTTTCATTCAAATATTTATAAATTCAAATAAGTCCATATTCCTTGTTTTCGGGTGATAAGATTTTATTCAGAATGCATTTTAAGGGATAACCTCCAATATATTTTTAGATATTCTGAGATGATAAATTTGTGATCACTAACAGCTGAGTTAGTCAGGCTGTCGACAACATACCTCGTCGGTGGTCTTGTGAACGGTGGTGGTTTACATCTATTTAACATCGTTTCTTACTGTTTAGATACAATCTTTAAACAAGATAATCGTAAAAAACTCGAGGAACAAAAACAAACTATTGTGTCTTAGACACAAAACATTCCCGTTGATAAAAGGTTTGTGTACAATTTGACTCAGAGTAAAATAAGAAAAATATGCCCAAGCGCCATTATTGCAAAGACAGGAATTAGCTTAAAGTCTATACGAATACAATTACGCGAACTGAAGAGAAAATGTTATAACAAAAACATTACTTATAAGACATCCCATCCATTATATTTTGTATTTGAAGTGTTAACAGTTTTTATATGTCATATTTAAATTAACAGATTACTGACTGAGACAAACTTTCAAATTATTTCTGTTTTCGTGTCGTAGCAGCTTTAATATTTGACATTTTTTGAACATATGGGAATACGTGATACATATTTATATCATATAAGTTAATATGGTCATGCATGGATGATGTTTAAACTTGTTTTGTAAGATTAAAACATAGAATTGGTTTCCTAAATGTCAATAACATATACTAATTAGTGGAATAAATGTACGTTTTACAATATTAAAAACTGAGATTTTATTAGTGATTTTTTTAACTGGTCCGAAAATAATTCCCGCCTCATTTGTCTTGTGATTCTTGGCAAATGGAGATTTAAAAAGCGTGGCACAAATATAAGAGCCAAAGTTTCAATCTAATAATTTAGATCGATAGTATGTACACTGACCTTAAGTCAAAACAATAACACAACATCCAAATATGTATATACAATAATTACAAAACAAATGTTAAATACATCGTGAAAGAAATCATAAACAGGACCCGAAGTCTCTCAACTTAAGACATTTGACTTTATGCATGTTTGTTTTATTCGTTGAGCCATATTTATGGTTTTAATTTAACCGCGAAAACTGTCAATCTTAAAAGCAAACAGCGAGGAAACATTATATTTCATACATATTTCAGTTTCTTGTTATATTGGCAACTATTACAGGTAAGTTGAGTTTCGCGTTATAACGATTCAAATATAATAGAGTAATGAGAAACCGTTGAGTTACTAATAAGTACATAGGTTCATACTTTATTTTTTAGTAATATGAAATTATACATGTCAACCCCTTATCTTCTTCTAAATCAAGTAATGAACATGTCATCTGGACCCAGATCTTAAACGCATGGTCAGCTATAGAACAAGTCATAACAGATTTTTCTTCTTGTATAATTTCGAAAATATTGAAATTCAAAATTAAATCTGCATGTAAAAGGATACAAAATAATTATCGAAAGAGAGAGCATATACAAATAGTTTAAACTTTTGAGACATTTCTTCCAAAAAGCTTTTTGACAAGATCGGTTAAATATATGGCAAGCTAACAATGCTTTAAAAATTTGCCTCAACAAGCAGAGGAGTGATTACCAGCTGTTACACTGTTTTAAATATCTATTAATGTGTCATCCAATAGCCACAGCTTATAATTGTTTCACGGTCGACTGCCCTTCTGTGACTAATCTACCATACCCCTTTTGCAAGCGGCATTTTCCTCGGAACATAAAGTACTATAATTGAGCGCCAAGGTAGCAGATCTCCCACAACTACGAGAAGACCGTTACCTGCCCAAAATACAGGTAAAGTGATTCACAGATTGACTGTTTTATAGGTTCTTAAACGTGGGAAAATGACATGTGCAGAACTTCATTTTTTTTTCATTTCATTTGAATCCAGTTTTATCAAGTTTCTCTAGCTTAAAGATATGTAAAGTAAAAGCTGTTACATTTTATTTCTTTTTCAAAACAAATGCAGAATTATGAGTATTACTGTACTATGTATAATATTTACGCGTTGTCATTTTGAGTCCTAGAGTGAGACTATTTTGTTTTAAAATTTAAAAATTGAGCTAAGTAGGTGATAAAGCTGACAAGGTTAATGCAACGGGTATTTTGTCTTCGTCATCATAGAATGATATATCTTAATTTTGTGACTTCAAATGTAATATGAGAAAATATTTCAAAAACAGTATTAAGGATGAATTAATATCGGAAAACTCATCTTCTTCGTCATGGGAGAATAGTGATAATGTGGACGCCTAGTAAGCACTCGTGCTGGACAGAAATTTGTCAAAAATACATGCTCAGATGAACTGCTTTCATATCTGTTCGAGTAATTAAACTATAATATCTGTCAATGGGCAACTGTCATTACAAAGTCATTTGACTATCTTTTCATGTTTGTCTGATTTTTACAACAGGTGGGCAGATATCATCTTTCACAAGAAACACATTCCTGACGAATAAGGGAAATCTTAAAATACCTTTACAAATTTTAAAGGCATGTAGCTCATGTTCAAAATTACTTCGAAAATAGATACTATTACTTTTTGTTGCTTCAGACTAATTATTCCTCATGGCTGATATTCGCAAAATAAAAACAAAATACTTAAGGATTAACTTGAATATATTTTTTATGTTATGGAGATATAACACAAAAAAACGGAGTGTACTCTAATAAACCGCGGTTTATTATGAGAGTACACTCCGGTTTTTTGTGTTATAGCTCGATAGCATGCAAAATATATTCAAGTTAATTTAATCTACTATACACAATCCCTGTGGAAATCCACTTGTATTGGTGTACTCTTTCCTCCTAGATATTATTGCGCTGCTGTATCAGCCAATCAAAAGCGACGTTACAAATTGCGAAGTCATTTTTTATGTTATGGGCTGATAACATAGATTTTTAAGCCAATGGAAATGCTTGTTACAAGCAAGATTAAATTATATGCATATATCTTCATTCAGTATTAAATGTAAATAAAACAATAAAAGAATGTTATTCGAATTAATCCAAAAATAATTTATCCTGCAAATAAGTGTGAAACAAGATACACTCATGGGGCCCAACTCGTGGTTTGTCGAAAAACACCATTCCGTGGGAACATAAATTCGTGTATTACTAGTACCCATTTAAATTAAGAATTGCACTATATAAAATTTGTAGTTACATCGTTGACATATGAATGCGTGGTTGAAGATTACCGACAAAATCAACGAAATTAGAAACCCCAAGAAAAGTATTTGATTTCACATTAATCTTTTAATCATATCAGTTTGTGAGCTTATTTGTCAGTTGAATATATCTTAGATAAATGTCACTCCACCCTGTTAATTATACTGACAACGAGCTTCCAAAGAAAAGGTCAAGGGAATTATTCAAAATCATCAGATACTTACACATTACATCATATGACGTAAATCTAATGCATCGAAATTATACATTATATTGTTATATTTGACGTTTCCATCGCCTGATCGGGGCCCTAGTTGTTTATAGGACGTAAAACACAAACAACCCAATCCATCGTGTGACGGAACTAGATATCATGGAAGATACGACCTGGTACCGCAAAAATGGCTGTTCCACTATTTAGTAAAACGGTCGTTTGTAAAGTATTGTGAAGATTGGATTAGAAAGAAACCACCCAGAAAGATGAATACTGTTTTGTTGTTGTTTGAACGAGGATTAAATTTAATAATAGGATTAACATGCATCTTGTCAACATTTATCAGTATAAAGCAATGTAAATATTAATTGATTAATTAAATATTCCGAAATGATTAAATTAAATGAAATGTTGCAGTAACGTTGTTGACGATAAGTATCTCTGAAAATATGATCTAATTCATAAGCACATTTTAGATATGTTGATGTTAAGCAATAGATTATTTATACTTCATGTAACTTTGCAGTCACAGGAATGCGTCCTATTTGAACAATGTCAGCCTTAATGAAAACGCTCATATATTTCAATAGTCCGAATATCTTAATTGATACAGCGCATAGCTGAGTGATAAGAAATTACTGTATCATATTTGTTTTGTTCGAATCCCGAGTTCTGACCGAATTAATCGTTTTCTGCATGTAACTGAAACTGTAGTGAGAAACAACTTTTTCCAACAAAATTCGCAAATAAAGAGATGGAATAACAGAATCTAACGAGGGCACATCAATCACAGTAATTCAAATCAAACTGAACACAGTGAAAATGTATCCTCACATCCTCGATATCCAGGGGTTACGATCACGTTCGCTCTCTGCACCCCTGGAATATGTCATAGACAAATTGAAGGCACGAAGAAAGCTGTTTGATTGGTCTCGGGTAAAAAAACCACCTGACCAATCGCTAGGCTGATAGCTGTCCTTTGAAGATTACAAAGGTGAGACACCCGCCTTAAAAGCCTGTCAATTTTTACCCTTACGTGACCGCGAGATTCTTTTGATGTACTTCAAAGGATCGATATAGTCTTCTTGTCTCATCAACAAGGTGGCGCCCACCATGCCTTCAATTTTGCTATGATATATTCCAGGGGTGTAGAGAGCGAAGGTGATCGTAACCCATGGATATCGAGGATGGTATCCTCAGCGCAAGTTTATACGCTAAGGTATTCATTTCAGTTAATACTGTAAAAGTTGTTATTTCAGCAGACACCAACTTAAGCCTATTTTCGACTTTTAACAGATAAGCACATCGGTTAATTGGCGCACTTACAACATGTGCAATAAAAAAATATATACAGAAACTTTAATTAGTGCAGTGATAATTTAGCACAATATCTAGAGACGAAAAGCGCTTATATAAGAACACCGCCAAAACATGTACGTTTACAGACAACTGTGCAAACTGATGATTGACTGGTTTTATTGTAGAAGCTACACGATTGAACATCTACATGTACACGTATATGTATAAATATCACAGTTGTAGGTGTCGAAGACTTCTATCTTTTTTTTAAGACTTCTTTTTTTTTGTACTTTTGACTAACAACGATTTTTGTAAGAACTAGGTTAATTTACTGCAGAATTATGTAGAGTATAATCCGCTGATTAGGCGGGTAGGCATGTTGAAGCTGAGAATTACCCAACATTATCACCTCTAGGAAATCAATCTTTATATTTCTGATATCAGAATTAAATAAAAAAGGGACATAACTCTGTCATTCCTGTTTCGTATAATTCAACTTGGTATATAAAACATTTGTATGGAAAACTCCGTTCTCCTACTTCATGTGCTATTGTGGGTATGCAATGTTTTACAAGTAAGATCATGTAACTTGTGTAGCTTTATATAACTGAGATAAGTAAACTTATGTTGTAGTTTAGAGATCATTGAGCTTAATGTTGTTTTATTTAAGGGTCCCCGACCCACTGCACTGTTTTTCTTTCGAATTAACAGTAACCGCCCCCTCCCCCTTAACACTTCCGTAGTTCAATCTGTTAGAGAGATTATATAACCATTTGAAATTCGGTATGATTTACCTTTCAGAAATAATTTATCAAAACTGTGATCATGCGTAGTTTTTGGCAGTGGTACGGGGATTCTTAAATAATATGTTGTTGAGATTTTAAACATTGCTTTGGTTTTATTTACGTCCTATTGACTGCTTAGGTCATTTAAGGACGTACCCCCATGTGCTGTGTATTCGTACACTTGTGTATGTGTGCCGGGGACAGGATACGTTGCTTGTGATAGCGCGGATCTAATGCCGACTTTAAAGTGCCATCTCACTGAAATATCGTGCTTTTATCACCTGATCGAACATTCAACAATAAAGCTTAAAGTGAGGTCTTGTCAAGAAATGCGCTAGGAAAGAAAAGGAAATTAGAAAGAAATTTAAAAAATTCTAAACATTGCAAAGGGTGCAGCAGATTTATTTTGGTCGCTTTTGTGTTCACAAATAGAGGGCACAAGACCAATGCATGTAACACAATCGATATTTTATTTATTATAAGCAACAATTTCTCCTTTTCTAAAATATTTTATTCAATGTATACACAATCTAGGGATGATTATCGTTGAAGTAATGCCAAAATGGCTTTCCATTGAGCAGCAATATAGCAATATAAATCTCTTAAGAGAAACACGTATGGTTTAAAACCATCCCATTTTACATACTTGGCAATTCTAGCATATGAAACAGTCATTTTCAATTTACGTCATTATTGGTTCATGCTCTTCAAATGCGCGCCCACACGTCCTTGCATACACAAATAAGGGTTATTTATTGGTTTCCGCATTCTCTACACTCCATGGGTTACACTTACTTTCAGTGCGGAAAGCGTAAATGAAAGCAACCCCAGTAGTATCGAGGATGAGTTTTTCGTTAGCTATCTCATTTACAAGTGCCAGCATGTAAAATTATGAAGTTAACTTGCAATATGTGTAAAATATAAATGATATTGGATAGGAAAGGTGGATAGGTGTGTGAGATCAGTTTATGGCGTCGGACTTTCATGACGCACAATCAAGGAAAATATTGAATACGCGAAATTTAAACTTTCTGATTGCTTATCAAATTCATTTTGTTTTAAATTATTTGTGTTCATTGGTTAAAATCCGAGAAAGTATTGCGATATATCTCATTGCAATGACAACACCATTTAAATATTTCTAACTGAAGTAAAAAAACAAACACCATTATATATATTTTTCACTGCAGTGAAAAATGCTCAAATGACAATTACATATATATCACTGATCAACACTTAATATCTAATTAATAATAGCGTCGAGACATAACTATATTGGTATTTGATAATGGTACATTAAGATAGCTACATTGTAAAGTCAAATCTCTCGCTGATATATCATAATTAGCTTGTTGCGGATTAATACTTTCGGGTAAGACTAATCATGATTTTAATATCTTGCACAGACAGACTGAAATACGTATATGATGTAGCTTAAGGTAACACCCTTAAAAAAGAATTAGTTTGCGTGTCAGAATCCCAAAAGCAAAAATTCATTTTCATATAAATAAATGTGATTTACATCATGAACGAATATATATAACATTAATACAATAATTGAGATAAAGAACAATATTGTTTGGATGATGAATCACAAATACTTCAATTAATTAATTGTTCCTTTTTTCAACATTAGATATCCAAATAAAATACCACATACCCATACGACAAACACTTTATTATTTTATCATTTTTAATCGTCTTACATCTAATTTTAAAATAGTCTTAATTTGTGAATATCAAAATTCTAATTAATGGAAAGTGGATGAACATTGGAAGAGTCTGACAAAAAGGAAAAATGAAAATGACATTTAACGTCATGTAATAACTCATAATTTAAAGTCGATCATATTAATGGTGTTTATAGTCGGTCCAACAACTTTTTAGAATCGACTTTCTGAAAATCAGACATACAGTATGTATATATTTCGTTACACTACATTGGCAATGAACGACGCTGTAGGCAACATGGTGATGGTTCTTAAGAAAACGATTTATCTTTCACATAAGATCTGCATTAAATCTTATATAAAATTAATATTTATCTTTCACATAAGAGCGGCATTAAATCTTACATAACATTAATATCGTATCATTTATAATGATAAAGTCTGTTTGTACTGTGTATATAACAGTCAAAATATTTCAAAGTAGTATTATCATTATTATAAACAGCTACATGTAACTCGAACACAGATCTAAAATATATCGTTTATCTCGAACTCACATTTGTTGACATGGAATTTCAGCTTAGTTTTCAAAAGTGTTCTTTATCCATATGAAACAAATTATTTTAAATTTCAAATTATAACTAGGTACTTTATTATTTTTTGTTTTAAAAAGGTAATCGATTATCACATTTTCCTCAAAAGAAATCTAAGTTGCAAATTCCCGATTTGACTTTATTGTAAAACAATAACTTAAACACACATGAAGGTTATGTTGTAGATTATTAATATATATGATGATGATTCGATATCTACATAACATTGATCACTCTGATCAGTGATGCATAATTTCATATTTTGAAGTAAAATTATGCACTGGTATAATTGGGCAATAATCATGACATACTGAATACCGCGAAATGTTCGCCCAGTCAAACTCTCGCCCTTCTCCCTTACTCTCAATTTTCGCCAAGCGTACAATTCGTCCTTTAAATAAAATACCTATGTATATTATGTTGTCTACCTATATTCACCGTAATAATAAATTCGCCCTCGTTGCAGAGGGCAATAAAGGCGAAATTTAAACTGCGGCAAAAAGTTCCCGGTATACCGTAATAAGTTAATTGTATACAACGGCACTTGCGGAACATATAAAGATACATTAGTTGTTTTAGATATTCTGAATTGTTATGATAGTCATTACACTCAAAGTCCCAAGGAGTCCAACTCTGACGTCATTTGACACACGGCACAGGGTTCACAGCACATAGAGGCCCAGAAATCTCCTAATAGGGAACCCTACAAAACAATGAATAACATTGATTATACAACATCAAGAAGGATAACAAAAGAAAACAGTTATTTGGAGGTCTACAACCAACATGAATACAATTATAAAGCGACGTACAAAATAACGCATGTAAGGAAGTATCGTCATGCAACTGAAATAAGCAGTGGAGATGCCTTCACAACAATAGTTATAAACTAGTTCGGAAGGCTACAAAGCAACAACAATACAATTGAAAGGAGGCCTGCAAACAGTGAAACTTTAAAGGTTCGAGGAAAAAATATGCCTTATCCTACTGTATCACACTTCATTTTACAGAGTGTTATAGTTAAAAACGACTTATGTGGGCCATCGTCAGAGTGAGAGATGTCTTGTCATCTTATTAGAAGACGTTGAATTATCTACAAATTAATGCGCTGCCCCTTTTGCAACCTTTGGGATCTATTTACTTTTCTTTTCTCACTTCCCTTCGATCTGATGTGTTTCCCTAGACAGCCGACCTCATATATGACCTATGCTGTTGTCTGGACATTGAACCCCATTTAGCGAAACTAATTTGTGATACAGTAATAGAAATCTTTAAAAAAATAAATAATAATAATAATAATAATTTAAAGTGACTTCTTTAAGAAAATTGTTGTGATATCTGACTGTTTGTTACTGATATATACTCTCTCTTATTCGACCAGACGATTTTGCTTTCCCTTTTTTCGTTGAAAATATGTTTGTTGCACTGTACCATAATATTAGCATGAATCCTGCATAAAATAGTCATTAATGTAAAAAGATGAAATGCAATGCCGGTAAACATTTATCAAATAAAACCGAATGTTATAGATTACCCGATACATAGAGGTTCCCCTACGATTGGTGGTTGGTTATCATGTCAGTGTAACTCGATTCATATACTCGAGTATCATATAAAGACACGAGGTATCATACACATGATAACAAACCATCGAGAGTGTGGGACCTTTTCCTCCTACAACGTTAAGATATTACACCACATGTCTCTTTTAGAAATACAGAAAAAATGGTCCTGAAATGTGACGTCACAATGGAAAATGACGTCGCAAAGCATTGTTGCTAGACGTCATAATGAGGACATTGATCAATGAAATAACGCCCAGGGTGTTACATGCTAGTGGGTAAACAAACATGTTTACCAAATGTCCTAGCAGGTGTACCCAATGAGTCGGGATAGAGAAAAACCTATAGTGGTTGTGGGAGAAAAGAATGTATGGATTTGATATACAGAAGACTATACAGATTGTTATAATGTCATTTTCTAAGCATAGTCATTAATTCAAGTCTTTGAAAAATCTCACTGTCAATTGTTAAAGGATGACAAATCCGTATTTGACTAATGTGTTCTGCGTTTTTCCAAAAATAATAATATATGATAAAAAAAGAAGTTATCTTCTACCTGTGACCTAATCTTACCGGACAGTTATAAGGCCCCAACACGATGCTTTAATGAACAAATATTTGTTTTGTAACCTTCATGCTGAACAAAAATACTACACTTCAAATTAAACCGGTAGGCAAAGTTATTTGTTAACTATCATTTGACCGACAAAATTTCTTTTGACCTTACGTGTTGTTTTCACGACTGAATTGTATCAAGATTCAATGATGTGCTTATCGTAGTAAATTTGGATTAAAGCGGATTGGCAATCTAGGAAAGTTATGCAAAAACAATGGACGAACGATCGATGGATGATAAACAACACGTGACAGACGCCTTTTGTATTTTGCTGAAAACCAACTTGTATGAAGTTACACTATCTAATTTCTGATACATTGTGGCAAATCTATAAAGAAAACCCATTCAATCTAAGTGGTTTGGAAGTATTACGTACCTTTATGCCGAATAAGGTCCTAACTTTGATTCTGAGGGCGAAGACAGCACACGGAATAAGAGCCATGAACGGAGTCTCACCAAGCCGGGTAGCCACCATATATTTGTGATACGGCCAGCAACAACACAGACTACAACCTGGAAAGTATACGTTCTTGATTATATGTAATAGAATATATCACTCCCGTGGGATATAGACAGAGAAATCCCAACCCGATGGTAAGGTTTTTGAAGTTTTGCGCGAGGTTTTGCCGAGGGTTGAGATTATTTTCTGCATTACAGAGTACTGACTGATTAATTTTCCCCTACATTTTCCTTCCGTAGTCAGGAAAATATATTTCTGTCTAACCCTTAGTTAAAGGTCGGGCATTCTCCTCTCATAATAATTGAAGGACGTCACGGCAACCATACACTGACGTCACATCAACAATAGCAGATATCCGATTTTCTGGAAATTGTACAATCAATGGTTGCATTTCATGAAATTACCGCTTGTATTTGACGTGGAAGAACATTTTTTTTCCTATTTAAGGAGTAAAACAGAAACCTCTCAACCCTCGGGGTAAGATTCTTAAATATCTGGCTCTCGGCAAAACCTCGGGCTAGACATTAAGAATCTTCCTGATTGGTTGAGATTTTGATGTCTTACCCCACAAGGAAGGGAACAATTCAATTAACCTTTTCTAGCAAAAACAGGAAATTCGACTGCTAAGTGTAGGCGAAAGACGTTTCTTGTTGACCCTAAAACTAGAGTTTGATTCGTTACGTAATAACACATCTTTCAATTTTAGATATATTAGAAAACGCCTATTAATCAAAACACCACGTAGCAAGGGTTTTCTAACTGTCAGCCTTCATTCTACATTGACGACATCACCAACACATCACGACATAATTTATTTTTTTGACATTTCAATGTCTAATCTTTACAAGAAGATATGCGTATCGAAAACCGTTGGGTTACGAAGATGACTGAATAGGGATTCAACCGGAATTAGTGGTTGCCAGATTAACGACAGTCAACTGGATATATAGTTATTCAACCAGAATAAGTGGTAGCAAGATTAACGAGAGTCAACTGGTTATATAATGATTCAACCGGAAGAAGTGGTAGCCAAAATAACGAGAGTAGACTGGTTATATAGTTATTCAACCAGAATAAAGGGAAGCCAGATTAACGAGAGTCAACTGATTATATAATGACTCAACCGGAAGAAGTGGCAGTCAAATTAATGAGAGTCAACTGGTTATATAGTGATTCAACCGGAATAGTAGCCAGATTAATGAGAGTCAATTGGTTATATAGTGATTCAACCGGAATAATTGGTAGCCAAATTAACGAAAGTCAACTGGTTATATACTGACTCAACCGGAATTAGTGGTAGCCAGATTAATGAGAGTAAATGGGTCATATAGTGATTCAACCGGAATTAGTGGTAGCAAGATTAACGATGGTGAACTGGTTATATAGTGATTCAACCGGAATAAGTGGTAGCCAGATTAACTAGAGTCGCGAGTGGTTGTATATCGATTCAACCGGAATTAGTGTTTGCCAGATTAACGAGAGTCAACTGTTTATATAGTTATTCAACCGGAATTAGTGGTTTCCAGATTAACGACAGGCAACTGGTTATATAGTGATTCAACCGGAATTATTTGTAGCCAGAATAACGAGAGTCAACTGGTTATATAGTTATTCAACCGGAATTAGTGGTTTCCAGATTAACGACAGTCAACTGGTTATATAGTGATTCAACCGGAATTATTTGTAGCCAGAATAACGAGAGTCAACTGGTTATATAGTTATTCAACCGGAATTAGTGGTAGCCAGATAAACGAGGGTCAACTGTTTATATTGTGATTCAACCGGAATTAGTGGTAGCCAGATAAACGAGAGTCAACTGGTTATATAGTGATTCAACCGGAATTGGTGGTAGCCAGATTAACGAGGGTGCACTGGTTATATAATGACTCAACCGGAATAAGTGGATGCCAGAATAACGAGAGTAGACTGGTAATATAGTGATTCAACCGGAATCGGTGGTAGCCAGATTAACGAGGGTGAACTGGTTATATAGTGATTCAACCGGAATTGGTGGTAGCCAGATATTGACGAGGGTGAACTGGTTATATAGTGATTCAACCGGAATTGGTGGTAGCCAGATTAACGATGGTGAACTGGTTATATAGTGATTCAACCGGAATTGGTAGTAGCCAGATTAACGAGGGTGCACTGGTTATATAATGACTCAACCGGAATAAGTGGATGCCAGAATAACGAGAGTAGACTGGTTATATAGTGATTCAACCGGAATTAGTGGTAGCCAGATTAACGAGAGTAAATTGGTTAAAATTTGCAGTAGCGTAGCTGCCTTAGGTTCGAGTAGGCACGTGCCTACAAATTACTTCATAGTGTTTGTCTTAAGTCAGTGTAAATTTAGGAAATTGAACAATCGAATTCGGTATTAATTAAAATTAAAAATTATACTATATCCGGATATTTTATGTCTAGTACAAAGTACGAAAATTCAAGTCTTATTTTTGTTTTAGTCAAACAAGATCTTGTAACACACAAAATGCAAATCACTTTTCAAGCTAAATTAAAAACATATGCCAAAACCACAACGATGAACAAGTTTTAGGTCCGGAAAATTCGAAATATTAAATGTTCCGAGACCCAGTCAGAGTATCCCTCTCGCAGTAAAACTGTCTCGTTTCTTAATCTTTGTCTGCAAAGACTATTACATTGTCTGCTTGTAAAAATAGAACTAAGCATGCTAGATAGGCAAGGTAACCCTTCCAATACTCTTTCCAGTTGTTCGAAATTCGAAACACTAGTTAATCCACTTTTGTATAACAATCTCCGAATACCCATTAATGATAAGGATACCTACCTACCGTGTTTGTAGTTGATTCCGAAATTGCACAAAAATCCTTATGAATAACGTTATGTCTTGGGTTCATCTCGTTGTTCAACCAAGCCGTTATCCAATCGTTCGCTTTTACTCCGGTCAGCGGGTTTTTCATACGAAGCTACTTTTTGCGCGATAACGACAAATATACACCACCTAGCCAAGTCTTTCTATTTCAACCTCAGATATAATGACGACGTGATGTCTTTAAATGACAAGAAATGTATTGACCTCATCTATCTTAAGTACCCTCCCGAGCTTGAAATTAAGGAAAATATGAGATTTTCATCCTCAGCCGCCTCCCGCGATCACCTCTCATATATTTTTTTTAACGTAATCAATAGAGATCGCTTAAAACTATGCCGTACGATAAGTAGGAAGATTTCGACTTTCGGTTCATGGATTTTCTTTTTCTTGATAGTAGCATCCCTACTCCTCCGTGTTGCAGTTGATTCGGGTGGTAATCAACAGCTTTGTCCAAATAACTTAACTTCATTACTCCATTATGATATCATATGTCTTGTCTGCTGACTGACAAAGATTTGAAAGATGCACTAATGATGTCTTCCCCTGGTTTTATACATTTTGTGTAAACACTTATGCTTTTGTTGACTTTTTTAGAACCATTGTCCCAGCAATAAAAAGTTAATTTTAATTTATAGATTTTTGGATAACCACCGTATTTATTCTACTTAAAAAAGATTTTATAAGATATCGTCAGTGGGAACAAGTTGAAAACTCCTGATTAATTTCTCATGTTTAGATCATTACCACTCATCGTATTATTGGTATACATTTAATCATAAAACGCACCGGTAAACAAACTTATCAGTTGACTTTATATAAACTTAAAATGCTATTGTCGTTACCCTAGAAATTGCACCTACACATGATTTATATCCCAGCTACGCCCCTGAGTTTATTTGGACAGCAACATAGCGGAAACATGAAAGATATTATCAAAATCTTACATTTTCGATCCTCAGATTGACAGGAAAACAACGTTTGCGTCCAGTTTCTCTCACAGTGAGCGTCGTCAAATGGGACAGAGGAAGATGAAGGTCCGATTTGTTTCCCGCCAGGTTCGGATCGTGTCGTCTGCGAGGCGGCCGGTGACTGTTCCCGCTCTTTGACTACAAGCGTACCTATCGTTGAAGGCTGTGAGTCCACCACACCATTGTCGTTGTGAAAGCTGTAAGTCCCACTCATCAGGACCTTTTCGTCTTCATCTGATATAGACAGAATCATTACTTTTTCAAATGCCTCGGTAAATGTATTAACACAAAACCAACATTTAATCTTAACCTGAATTTTTATTAAATAGATAAGAGCAAATAAATATATTCATAATTCAAGTGGTAAACGTACATCACGTACAACACATTATGTGTCATTTCGGAATTGCCATGCTAACCTCATAAACATTTTTACCTACTTCACTCCGAAACACACTCAGTTCATCTCTCATTTCATTTTCTGCTGGGCGTATCTTTTCTCAACAAACGATAGCTAATTACGAAATAGACAGTGAATATGATCATCAAGTGCCAACCCAAGCGGCAAAGTGAACATCGAAACACAGAAAGAAAGAAAATGGAATGACAGTGGCAAGAGATATGTAAAAAGTGAAGAGGACGTGATGGTTATATGTAGCTGAAAGGTAAGTCGCGTTCAAACAGTTATCTAACCCGTGCCGTCTGTGATGGGAAAATTCGTTCACAAGACCATTATCTCTGATACTAGCCTATGTATGATTGGTGATGTAAACATTACATCTATATAATTACCAAACCGTAATTAATGTTGCTTCCCAGTACTTGGTTTATTGTTGATTATATGTAGCTGAAAGGTAAGGCGTGTCCTTACAGATTTCTGACTCATGCCGTCTGTGATTGGCAAATTTAGTTACACGACCATTAGGCTATCTATATACATAAACAAAAAATATTAACATGCATCTATGGTGATGTAAGCATTGCATTTGTTTAATTACCTAACCTTAATTCATTTTACTTGATAGTGCTTATGCTATTGTTGGTACTCTTTGAATTAATTAAACTAACACAAACATAAAAAACGAGATATACCAAAAATATAAACAACATCACACAAGGTAATACGGAATAAAAAAAAATTGTAAACACAGAAGATTGATTGTTCGTGCGAAATGTTGATTGTCTGGTATAGATTGTTTCATTGATTAGTTTTCTAAGTTGAGCAGTACAGGCCTGTTATTGATATGTGTCGTGGCTTATTTCCAATGTCAAGTTCTTTGTCAATTACATTGAGGACTTGTGATATTATATCACCATTTGGGGCCGATCCTGGGCAGAACCCGTCCTTATACAAACTCTTACATTAATACAAGAACGTGTTTCTACAGAAAATACATGTCAATAGGCCTAGTTGTTTATCTAGTTCCAAACCAGAGCGCCGGCAACGGCTGCTGCTGCTGCTGCTGCCGTTCAACAAATAGAACTTATATTCAATAAGATTTTGTCAAACGTTTTTATATTCTAAAGGTTGTGATTTTTTCACAAGTTATTCAAAATTGAACTCAGCGAAATAAAAATCATGCATTTTTCGCTTAGTTTCATATCGTTTGTTGTTATCTGATTAAACATCGCTTTCAATTCTACATTTATTTCCTAGCTTCTCACTTTCTGTGAGCATTGGTATTTATAACCACAATAAAATGTCCATCCTTGAAATTCCAGGTCTTATCCCCATGTACGTTCTCTGCAACCATAGAATACGACATGACAATATCGAAGGTTAAAAACTAGCAATTTGATAGCTTTCAGATATAAATAACTGACCAATCGATAGCGCTAGGCTGACATCCATTCATCCTCAATTCCCCATGGGTTACGCTCTCATATGTTATCTGCACCCCTGGAATATGTTATGGCAAAACCAAAGGCACGTGACTAGCTATTAGATTGGTCTCATGTAAAATAACAACTGACCAATCGCTAGACTGATACATGTCCTTTGAAGGAGCGACACCAGACTTCAAAGCCAGTCAATGTTACCGTCACGCTGCTGAGAGATTCTTTTGAGGTTCATCAAATAATCAAACTAGTCTTCTTATATCTTCCACAAGGTGGCACACACTGCTCCTTCGCTTTTGTCATGACATGATGTTCAATGGGGGAAGGCATTTGAAGACAGAGAGCATAAGTAAGCGTATCCCTTGGAGAATTTGGGAAGAAACGACACCCCACTTCAAAGCCATTCAATTTGACCGTTACGCTGCCGCGCGATTCTTTTGATATACATCAAAGTATTGAACTAATCTAAGTGTATCATTCACAAAATAACTCACACTCAGCTATCCAGTTTGTTTGGTCTCAGGGGGGAAAACCCTAACTAATCGCTAGTGTAATACCTGTCCTTTGAAGATAACAAATGAGCGATACCCGACTTCAAAGCCAGTCACTTTTACTGTTATGCGACCGCGCGATTCTTTTGATGTGCATCAAAGTATCAAATTAATCTTATGGTATCATCCGCAATGTGGCGCATACAGAGCATTCAATGTTGTCATGGCATATACCGGGGGTGTAGAGACCGTAAATGAGCGTGACCCCTGGAATTCCGAGGATGTGACATGTGATTAAGATGATGTGCGGCAATGACAATAATGCACACTCAACACCGTGCCCCAACACTTTGAACACGTGGAACAGACTTGATCCAAGACACATGATTTTGTATCATGTATATCGGTCATGTGTTAGCAACTTATGTCCGTGTTGATATCATAAGCGTATAGAACTATTATATTTGACATTTAACTGGGTCTTGGTGTTCATTTTAGCGTGGCATTAACGCTGTGGTCTGACTGATGGTGACAACGCCCATGTAATTGATCGTGCACTGGTGAAGTGCTGACGTTTCAGCGGTAATGGTTAATATCACAGCTGTCCCTTTAGGACTGATGTTAAAAGTTTCCTACATTCCCCCCNATTCATGCTGAAGATTTCTTAACAAAACATGTACAACTAAATAAACAATGTTCTTTTCCGAAAGTCGAGTCAAATATTTGTCAAGTACAACTTTCTTCTAAAAGTTGCCATACAGTTCACCGCAAAAGCAATTTGAATGTCAGCATTCAATCTTTGTAGAAATTAGTCGATTAACTTTTTCTGACAATATTTTTATTATTATATTTAGTAATAAGTTCCTGTATCTGAAAATAATAGAACTTGTCCGACATCACTAAACCATCTTTTTGTATATTCTATACATTTTAACTGACACACATTGTTGGCGTGAAGTTTATACATTAATCTATACCTGTGGCTTCTAAGTATAGAGGTATTCAGTAAAAATGAATTATAAAAAATAAACATTCTCAGCTTAACAACTTTCTTGACAGGATATGTCCCAATCTAAAATGAATCTGGTGTACTATTTTCCTATTTAGAAAAGATAAGAACACCGCCAAAAAAACCGCAATAACTCGTTCCAGTATAAACGTAACAAGAGACCGCGCGAGTCTGTATCAGTGAAATGCTTTAAAAACGAACAAGCACAAAAGAAAATATTCCTTAATGTTTTTTTCTCTGTAGTAATGTACATTTTGTACATCATCATTAACTAGAGAATTTATGACGATATGGTCAATCATACCTCACGTCAGGGTCAAAGTTCAAACCGATTACAATATTACTTCTACATATCTGCAGTAAGATGCATCAACACACCCACTGGAATTTAACAGGTTGCTGTAAGCCAGGCGAGTATAGACATTACGTAACCACTTGTGCTCGTGTAACACAAGTCTTGTGCCTTTTAAGACGTATACAGATAGCATAAATACCAGTCGCCAACCATTGACTATAAAACACTTAGTGTGATATTCTGTTTCCTTTCTCTTTCCGCACAAGAAACCTTTGGACACACATTTTAAGGATCCATCTCCACCTGTACTGTGTTTTTTCGTATAAACAGTAACCTCACTTTAACTTCCGTTTGGATATATCTGTAGTACAGGTGGGCCGGAACAATTCTATTGACCAGATAGCTCAATGGTTAGAGCAATAATATAACAATCTGAAGTGGCCCAGGGTTCGATTCGCGGTCTAGCTCCGCTATTTAATTTTCCTTTCACTGGGATTGATTATATTTTGTTTATTTCATGGTTAAGATAAATGAAAATGAAATAATTTCCCATAAAAGTCCCGCAATGTATGGTTTTCTTTTCAGAGATGAAATATCAAAGCTACAGTTATATGCCGGACAAAACATTCCCAACACTTAGTTACAATTTTTGGCAGTGGTATGGGGATCCTTAAAGAAATTTGGCTCCGAAAGGTGCTTTTAACCTTGCAGATATTTATTGAAAAAAAGAGATACATTTGTATAGATGCAAACTTTATATGTGCTGTACCTAATAACTGGAAAAAATGGAATCAAATTACACTTTTTATTTATGTGCTTTTTATATATCCTTGTTTCTTTCAAAGTTTGTTTTTCGAAATTACATGATTTTTTTTATGTAGGATGGCATTCATTGTAATCAATACATGTATTATTTCTTTTCTTAGTTTTTGTTAATGTATAGCAGAGAGGGCCTTTGAATTGTGAAATATATTTTGCTCAATCCGTTTGCTTCATTTATGCAACAAAAGAGGTTTAAATTTACATTTTGGTAGGCCTTCAAAATTGAATCATTAGTAAATTCATCGAACCAAAATTACCATATATAAAGATATTTTATTGATTTATTTGTTTTTAGTGATGAACTCTGTCGAAAAGGAGGTAAATGTAGCCTATATATCCGTAAATCCTTAACAGCAGTACTTCTATATTATCTTGTCTGTAACGATCTGATACGTCAGTCTAAAATTAGAGATTTGTGTGATTACGTCTGTAAAACAGCAAGCTTACGATAGATACACACACACCGAACAACTGTCTATGATCACGCTGATGAAAGCAAACACTTATCGGTACTGAACATCTCTATAGGCTGAAGTTTAACCTTTAAATTGGTATCTCGATCTTTTAAAGATTTCGAGCGAAAAATTGTATAACACCTATTTCCGCATTTCTATCTCATTTTATTCCGTAGCCATTTCTACCAACCCAACCCCATCGATATTCACATTTCTCCCTCATTTTATTCCAATAGCGATTTTTACAGCCCCCCACCCCAGCGATTGCCGCATTTTTATCTCATTTTACTTCAAAACCCATTTTCATTGCTACCCTCCAACCGATTACCGTATTTTACATAATCTAATTCCAATCGTCACTATACCCCCCCCCCCCCCCCCCCCCCCCCCCCCCCCCCCCCCNCATTTTATTCAAGTAGCCATTTTTACCGCCCTTATCTTTTTATTGTAGACGGCATGAGTAATGTGTGTTTATTCTTGAAAAAAAGGTCAGTTATCCGAAACGTTTAGAACAAACTAAAGTGAGTTTCATTGTAGATCTCGATTTAACAGATAGATTAAGTGTTATACAGTATCTGTGTAATAACATTTGGAAGACAGAATTTCATAAAATCGGAGTTGGACACTCCCGCCTTAATACTGCAGTTTTATATTGTTTCTAGCGAGCTATTTTCATAGAACAGTTGTTGCCTCTTAATTAAATAACCTACAGTGTATTTATAGAGCAGGGGTTATCCAATTCCTGAAATGACTCGGAATTCTTCAATGTTAGAAACAGAAAGTCTGCCAATTAAATTATATCATTATCCAATATGATGATTTTTGAATAGTTAAACAATATATGGAAATACACATTATATACATAAGGCTATTCTTATCGACGATAATACATTTTAAAGACATATGCTACATTACTGTGGCATTCTCTCCTTTAGGGTTTTGTTCATTTATAATGACGATGAAGAATTCGAGAATTCGTTCTTATAATTAGTAAACTCTGTTTCTATTAACGTAATGGGAGACAACTCATATACACATCGTAAGTAACTACTAATGCATTAGGCACCATATATCCTTAACCAAATTTAAGTTTCTTTTCAGTGTCTTAAGGATTCCCCTCCCAGTGCATTGTGTATATGTTAACCTGCACAGTAACCTCCCCTTAACTCCGTTTAGATAAACTGTAGTAGCACAGGTAGGCCGGGACACATCCGTTGACCAGATAGCACAATCGGTTAGAGCGATAGTAAAATATTCTGAAGTGACCAGGGACGTATCCCCGTCTCACGGTCTGGCCCCGCTGATTAATATAAACTGTATTTCATTCCAAATTAAGTTGCATTACATCACATAATATACAAAGTACAGAGGAAACTTATATAATTCCGTTTCCGAGACGCTGATTCTTTTACACTCACAACACTGTTGTTGATAAAGCCGCACAATGTATAGTTTTCTGTTCAAAAATGATTTCTCAAAGCTATAGTCATACCGGAAAACCCCAGTTCCAACACTTATATACAGTTTTTGACAGTGGTACAGGGATCTTTTATCACAATTAACGCCCCCCCCCCCCCCCCCCCCCCCCCCCCCCCATCACACACTACTGTAAATTCAGCTTCACTGATGCCTGTGTTTCACACGTGTCGGCTTTACGAACCCCGTGTACGTAATGCACGTACATACACACGCGAGCAGACAAGACAAGACAACATGGAGTGGGGCTATAAATATCTTAGTCGCGATGTTGAGCTCTTTCTAGACAAATAACTTCCACTCGAACTTTTCTTTAAACGATTAACTAATACTTACCAATTTCCATTTGGATGTAATCTTGGTTTCCTTTTGTCTAAATCGTCTTCTAACTTCTACAGGGGGGTATTCTGGTCACTATTTTCCATCTACCAGACATTCATCCCAACTAAAAATAAGTTTCTCCAAAGCTACAAGCATTAATGCTAAAGTAATTATCTGACGCGCGCGCGCTGTGGTGGGACTCTCTCATATCCCTGCCAGCAGCCGATACTGTTGGCATGAGTCACGGAAGGGGATGGCGGCAGTTTCACAGATGTGGTGAATGGAGACGGTATACACACGCCGGTTATATGTGTATCGTATATCTAAACAAACCTAAGTTACATTTATCGTAATTGTCAAAATGGCTTCCGTCAAACTTGGAATAGTGAGGCCTATACTACATGCACTAGAAAAACGCATTATGCACGGACATTTTATGGTAGAATTCAGTATTCAAATTCCGTATGTCGGTTGAAATGGGTCATAATTGTTTTATTACTGGTGATTTGGGCCTTTGGAATTGGTTAATTATCTAACATCACTAAAAAGATACAAAAAGGTAATCACTAGTAACATGTATGTGGTTCTATAGATTTTAGCTCAAGGGAGATAACTCTTACACAAATAATTGGAATGTTGTGTACAGAAGATTTGGCATAGCCATATATTTCTTATACAAGAAAACATATTGTCATCGCTCTCAATGCACATATCTTCTGTGTAGAAAAGAGATGTACGGGGTATCTAGAGCAGAAGTTTTGATTTCGCAGATGAAAAATAGTTAGACGACACCAATTTATCATAAAAGTTAAGGGAATTGGGCGCAGGTGGGGTACACACCAGACCAGAGACCTATAGTATCTAAATCAATCGATCAATCATCTCCGATTCACCGGTACCGGATATGACGTCCATGTGACTTTAGAAATTACTGAGACTTACTAGTATTTCGTATCAACGCACTCACTTTAAGAATACGGCTTTCGGATTGTGCTATATGGTACAGGGACGTAGTACTATAGGGCTTAGCAATCACAGGCATATACAGATCTGTACTTATAGCTCTTCACCCTTACCATAGGTCTCTGACTTCAGGTTTAGATTTCTTATATAAAGGTCTGTAACTGTCTCTTATCTGATCTTTACTTCAGGAGTATGAATCTCAGTACAATGAACCTTGAGTTGTCTCCCACTTAGTTGAAGTAACGTTTCTGATCTAGAGTGTGATCTCCTGCTCCTCCTCCTTCTCCTCCTCCTCCTCATCAACAGGAGAACTCCTCCTCCTCATCAACAGGAGAACTCCTCCTCCTCATCAACAGGAGAACTCCTCCTCCTCATCAACAGGAGAACTCCTCATCCTCATCAACAGGAGAACTCCTCATCATCATCAACAGGAGAAGAAGAAAAACACTCAACATGCAATCTAGATTGAAATATTTTGTCCATCCGTATCTCCGGGTCTCAAAGTCTTCGCAACAAACGGTTTTCGGGTCATAACCGGTCGAGTAGTGCCCTAGTGGGAAGGAGAAATCTGCTAACTTTGTCACAGTGGCTATCAATACACAAACTTTGGGAAAAGTGTTGGTTTCCAAATGCTACATATATCTCTTTAACAATGTATCAGATCTAAACCAAACTTGTGTTGCTGGAAGTAGATTCTTACTGAGTTTTTGGAAACTAGGTCAAAGTTCAAGGCCACAGTGCTAACCAAGACCTTTGGTGAAAACGACACACATTGTATACGACACACAGTTTTCCTTTCTTATTTTAGAATTGAATTATAAGGATTTGAAAAGATAATTTGCAGTTTATTCAGTGTGCAGTTCTGTTTTCGGTCTATATATCGATAGACCTTTTTAATTATCTAGTCCAATCCTTAAATACGAAACGAAAAACATGAACATTCACTGGTTGTGCTACATGAATCTGTATACAATTTATACTTACAAATCCCTGGAAAATGTTAAGAAAAAAATAACAGCTATTGCTATATTTATAAAAAATATTTTTTTTTGTAATATAAACACTAATAATTTATCATCTTTCCACTAAATATCATCTTTCCACTAAATATCAAATGAAAACCAGCGACTGTAACCCAACATGGCCGCCAGTCTCATGCTTGGGAGGACACACTATTCCTGATTATTCGTTAATGTGAAAAAAGTGTGCAGACTAAGAAATTACACATGATCTGTTCAAATTCCTGAGTAGATCGCTGGTAGATTGAATCTTCTGTAGAATTGTTTGTAAGTGTGCGGGAAGGTTGAGATGTCGGTGACCGCAAGTGACGTCATAAGGTCGTAGGTGATAGACGAAGAATTCAAGGGCGTACGTATATCGCGTAGTGTTGATTCTAGAGTGAGGCCTTACGGTACGTACATGCGCATAGGATCAATGTAATAAAAGGAAAAAGCGTAATCACTAATCTTGTTTTACGAAATTGGTCCAAAAATAAGGATTTTGGAAACTGTTGAAATATGCTATGTGTTTCTAGTTAAAATGTGGGAAGTTGCACACACGGAGTATATGCATGCGCACGAAGCATATATCTGAAGTAGTTTCGATACCAATGCAATTAAGATAATACAAAACAATTTCGAGTTCTCTATCTAGAATAGGAGAAAAACGCGAAAGCTACACGGCCTTTCTTTGTTCTTACTAAAATAAAATCACACTTCAATGCGATATTCCCGAGGCATTCATTAACCGGTTCCTGTGCAGTTGGTCTCATCTGAAAGTTGGTAAAATCACGACCTCAAAAATATCAGGTATTTTGAAATTGGTCCAAAAGTAAGGATTTTGGCAGCTGTTGAAATTTGCTCTTTGTTACTAGTTAAAATGGGCAAAGGTACCAAATGCGTCGTTCTGGGAAGTTGTACACGCGGAGCATTTTCTGAAGACGTTTGGATACCAATTAAGATGATACCAAATAGTTTCGAGTTCTCTATCTAGAATAGGTGTAAAACGCGATAGCTACATGGTCTATCTTTATTCTTACTAAAAAAATCAACGCGATATTCCCGAGGCATTCATTAACCGATTCCTGCGCAGTTGTTCTCATCGGAAAGCTGGTAAAATCTCGATCTCAAAAATATTTGTTTTTTTGAAATTGGTCCAATAATAAGGATTGTAAGACGCAATTGGTACCTTTGCCCTTATTAACTAGTAACAAAGAACAAATTTCAAGTCTCCAAAATCCGTGTTTTTTTCCCCCCATTTCGTCAAAACCGGATATTTTTGAGAATCTCATCTTCCCAGCTTTCAGATGAAACCAACTGCGCAAGAATCGGTTAATGAATGCCTCGAGAATATCGCGTTGAAATTTCATTTCATGAAAACATTTGAAAAAGGATGTTCGTCTCGTGAATATTCCTTCTAACAGAAAGATTTGTCCCATGGGTGAGGGAAGGTGTTTGGCCCCGTATTCAATTGCATCGGTCACATTCCGGTTAAAGATATTTCCTGGTGTCTATAAATAATGCCGAGATGCCAACAAATATTTCTTCATTTAAATTTTGAATATTGGCATGAGTGCAATTAACTCCTGATGATGAATAATTACTGCTAAGGGGATTCAATAAGTTTCAACACGGACTTAGAAATCATATTCCTTGGTTTCATAGTGCGGTAAGAACTTGCAGTTACCTGACGGCCCCTCTCTGGAGGCCCATTTTGAAACTTTGCATCTCGGTCAGACCACCTGTGTTAACTGCCTCGTTTCAAAACCGTCATGAGATGTTAATGGCGCTATTTCCAACGATTTAACGTCCTTTCAACAGCTATGGTCATTTTACGACGGCCTCGATCCCCTGTGTGCAAGATGCATGCATGTAGTGTATGCTTGTGTGCTTTGGGATGCTGATATATGTTCGTGTTTGTCTACTTGTGATAGCGCGGAACTGATGCAGACTTTATAGTGCTACCTCACTGAAAAAAACTGCCGAAGACACCCAGCAGGACGCTCCACCCAGTCACATTATACTGACAACGGGCGAACCAGTCGCGATCGTCCCACCCCTAAATTGCTGGGCGTTAAGCAGGAGTAGAAACTACCATTTTTACAGACTCTGGTATGTCTCGGGCTTTCCCGAACAATTCAAGTGGTCAAACTGGACATTTGGAACGGACTATGAATATCGGAATAGCAAGGTAACATAATTGGAAGTGTGTATATATTCATTAAGAAAATATGGCTCTTCAAGTGATGTCCCTTTAAAAACTGCATCTATAATTATATAACATGACATGTTGTTGACATGACGGCTTGTTACCCTGTATCAGCCGTCACGATCACTGCGGTCCGAGTCAGAATCATTGTTTTGTGTCCCAAAATCTCGTACTGTGGGAATTCAAACCGGTGCTTTGGGAGGGTTTCGGCCACGTTGTGGAATAGCTTACCATCTGCTATTAGAAAGTCAAATACCTTGGCCAAATTCAAGAGGGACTTCAAAACTCACCTCTTCACGTCTGCATTTTAGGGTCTCTGCAAAGACGTGATGTAAATACCACCCTTTATTTGTTCAATTATATATATATATATATGTGCACATTGCTTGCTTAAATGTTTAAAAGTGATTGTCGTAAGCCTTTGTTTTTGTTTCACAATTATAACCATTACTATTATCCACATGTTGTAAACCGCTTTAGAGTAAGTTTACAAATTAAATACAGGTAGGGCGCTATATAAAGGTGTTGTATATTATTATTATGACGTAACTTTATCATTCCAAGTACTATTAGCTTCACGTTACCTATAACAGCTTCATCTATCACATGATCCTTATCATTCCTAGTATTGCCATCTTGACGTTACCTAACATCTACATCTATCACATGATCCTTATCATTCCTAGTATTGTCATCTTGACAATACCTAACATCCTCCATCTATCACATGATCCTTATTATTCCTAGTATTGTCATATTGACGTTACCTAACATCCTACATCTATCACATGATCCTTATCATTCCTAGTATTGCCATCGTGACGTTACCTAACATCTACATCTATCACAAGATCCTTATCATTCCTAGTATTGTCATCTTGGCGTTACCTATAACAGCCTCCATCTATCACATGATCCTTATCATTCCTAGTATTGTCATCTTGACGTTACCTAACATCCTACATCTATCACATGATCCTTATTATTCGTAGAATTGTCATCTTGACAATACCTAACATCCTACATCTATTACATGATCCTTATTATTCCTAGTATCGTCATCTTGACGTTACCTAACATCCTACATCTATCACATGATCCTTTTTATTCCTAGTATGGCATCTTGACGTTACCTATAACAGCCTACATCTATCACATGATCCTTATTATTCCTAGTATCGTCATCTTGACGTTACCTAACATCCTACATCTATCACATGATCCTTTTTATTCCTAGTATGGCATCTTGACGTTACCTATAACAGCCTACATCTATCACATGATCCTTATTATTCCTAGTATTGTCATCTTGACAATACCTAACATCCTCCATCTATCACATGATCCTTTTTATTCCTAGTATGGCATCTTGACGTTACCTATAACAGCCTCCATCTATCACATGATCCTTATCATTCCTAGTATTGTCATCTTGCCGTTACCTAACATCTACATCTATCACATGATCCTTATCATTCCTAGTATTGTCATCTTGACAATACCTAACATCCTACATCTATCACATGATCCTTTTTATTCCTAGTATTGTCATCTTGACAATACCTAACATCCTCCATCTATCACATGATCCTTTTTATTCCTAGTATTGTCATCTTGGCGTTACCTATAACAGCCTCCATCTATCACATGATCCTTATCATTCCTAGTATTGTCATCTTGACGTTACCTTACATCTTACATCTATCACATGATCCTTATTATTCCTAGTATTGTCATCTTGGCGTTACCTATAACAGCCTCCATCTATCACATGATCCTTATCATTTCTAGTATTGTCATCTTGACGTTACCTAACATCCTACATCTATCACATGATCCTTATCATTCCTAGTATTATCATCTTGACGTTACCTAACATCCTACATCAATCACATGATCCTTATTATTCCTAGTATTGTCATCTTGACGTTACCTTACATCTTACATCTATCACATGATCCTTATTATTCCTAGTATTGACATCTTGACGTTACCTAACATCCTACATCTATCACATGCTCCTTATCATTCCTAGTATTGTCATCTTGACAATACCTAACATCCTACATCCATCACATGATCCTTATTATTCCTAGTATTGTCATCTTGATGTCATCTCACATTTTCCATTGACAACATGACAGGACCCTCACATCCCAAGATATGTCAGCTTCACATTTCTTTACCACATGTCACGAAACACAGTAAGTATATTTCTCAAGTACTGTCAACTTTATTTCACCTTAATATATATCCATATCATCAAACTCAGAACCTATACTTCCGAAGCTGGCATCAACTAATTATATAATATACCATATAACCTGAAATCAGAGAGTACATTCAAAATATTGTCAGCTTGACATTACTTTCCATAATAAATAACATTAAATATAGAATGTTATCATTCCAAGCAGAGATGTATATATTAATATGTATAACGTCTCTGTTCCAAGTACTGTCATCTTGACGTGTCCTTACCTAACGAAGAACATTAAATGTAATACTTATAAATCGTTGTTATTACTGATGTTAATCAGGTAACGTTCAGTACTGTCAGCTTAACATTGCTTAACATAATAAACAACATGAAATAAATAACTTCACCTGTGTATTGGCCTACTGTAACATATACATCGATCTGCAAATCTAGATAAAGTCAATGATCACAGTTCAAAGGATGAATATAATAAATATATTCATTTATTTATTGGTTTAAAAATACATTTGTGTGATATAAATATAATAAACATAATTGGATCTTTAATGATAACAATATCATCCACAAGTGCCACAAATATTCTCCAGTGGTACCAGACTTGTTTTTTCTGGCTGTGACAACAATCATATCGTCACAGTGGATACGAATATAAACGAAAAGTGCTGAAATAAAATATATTCATTTGAAATGCATCATCAATTTGGCAATTAGGAGAGTTTACAGTTGATTATTTCATTTCACAGATACAGCAACAGCTGGACCTGTATTCATGAAAACGTTCTCATACTCAAGCATGGATTTTGTGCTCAAGTCTAATTTCTTGTTCAAGTTATAAATTATTTAAAAAATCTTGTTTTGTTAATGTTTTGGACAAAAATTGAAGAAACTTGAAGATTTAAATTTGACTTTTTGATCATTGACATGATTTAGGTGGGTTACAAGAAAGCTGGTATGAGCACAGAATCCATGCTTGAGCATGAGAACGGTTTCATGAATACGGGCCCTGGTAAACTGAACTTATCTGATCCAGAAAAAAATATATCAAATTATCCAATATTTTAGTTTAATAATGATCCTAATCACATCTGAACCAATGTATGATTTAATTGACATTTACATGATACAGTGTGTCAACCAACACAGGAGATTTTCTGAGGTGTGTACTAGTAATCTAAATATGAAATTGTTCAACCCTGGAACACTCCATGTACAAAATCACTGCAAAAAAGTCACCTACTTCACCCCTCATTTCCAAAATGAGGGATATCTTTATCAATGGAAGTTTATGAGGTTGAAAATATGTTAATATGGATTACATCCGTCTATACATAATTATCTGTTTGTGTTGGGGGTGTTATCAGCCGAGTTGAAGTTATGCAGGTCCTGCAGTAACAGCCCCTGTACTTGTGATTGCCCTTCAAATGCCAAAAGCTTTCAACTAAGGCATTGCATTTCTAATGAAAAATAACTCATAATATGAATAAGTCCTGAAAATTAAATCTTTCTGATGTATTAGACAACTTGTAAAGACAAAGGAAGTATGTTTGAAGCTAGCTGGCTTAATGTATCTGGCTGAGGCTTGCTAATAGAAACTTTACTTGTTAAAGTGAAGGAAGTATGTCTGAAGCTGGCTTAAAGCTTAATATAACTCCACCAATAAAGGCATCTAAGGAAATATAGTTAAGAGTTGGTTAATATTAACAACACTTGTCGCAAGTTTAAGGAAGTATATATGTCTGAGGCTGACTTCAAGTAACTCCACTGGTACAAGGTTTCTAAGGAAATATAGCTAAAGTTGGTTAATATTAACAGCACTTGTTGCAAGTTTTAGAAGAATGTCCAAGTCCAACTTTACAGCTTGACGCGGGTTTGGACCTCGCAGGAACAGTTTGGACATTTCTTGGCCTTGCGACCACCACACTCTACACAGATCTTACAGTAGCAGGGTTCCAACTGGTAACTGGCCTGGTCCTCATCACATGACATACAGAGATTAGAGGGGGGCGCTACAGGCTGTACTTTGTGTCTAACATCCCTGTAAATATAAAGACAATAATGTGTCTCTCAACCCTGAAACTCTACCCTTTACTATGTAGTGGCAGATTGTATTATAATGAAACTCAACAGAAAACATTATAATTTCCCGAGTTTGATATTTCTGATTACTGGAACAGAAGAATATTTAAGTTTAAATGTTAATTACATATGTCATATCTATTATACCTGTTAAAGAATTATCTCTCTTATGCCTCTGAGAGTTTTCTCCCTTAAAATTTCTTAATAATTTCAATAAAAGACTTTAACCTGGATGATACAAATTTATGCATGCTTGATAACAGTGATATATCTTTTTCCCCCTCAAGATCAACTCAATGCATGGTGGCATTTTGACTTAAGTAATTGTAAGTGGCAAGAAGGCTTACATAATAACGCAGTGAATTCATTAACAATTTTTTAGATTTGCAACATGATGTTTGATTGTTTCAAAAAAGAAAAACGTTAAAATCTTTATTTAAGAGACATAAGTGACCTATTAGGTGTCAACTATGACTAAACCTGACTCACTTTTCCTGTAGAGCTGTGCGGATACGTTCTTTCACAAGTTCATTCGTACATTCATCAAGTGGTGCCTTCCCATCCAGGTTGCGTGTGTTATACTTGACTCCGCGATGGATCAGTTTCAAGGCAATCTCAATCTGCCTCTGAACAGTCTCCTCCGAGGGCAACGACTGCTGTATAATATTATAACAGTAAATCTAGTTATGTCCCCTAAATATATAGCATGCATGAACTTTTTTGTGTCTTGTATAAAGAAAATATAACACATAGCGCCAGATTAAACAGGTTACATCTGAGCGATATGTTGTGTCGCTGGATGTTTAACACCTGTCAGGTTAATCTGATCAATATGGCGCGTTCCACAGGGTGTCGGATGAGATTTCGTGACAATCTAAGAGTAAACTAAATACATATCAAACCACATTCTCAAATGCAAACTTTTACCCTACTGGATGGCCTTCTTCAAGATACGCATACATGTTTTTCGCTTATAGATAGTGTCCATCTAAATAATCCAAAGAAAGCTTGCTATATTAATCTTTATTTAGTTGGAAAACAATACTTGAAAAACAGGGCTTGGGATACACAGGTTCTGTTCTGATAGTACAGGTTTATTATACCTATAAATGCACATGATGTCACCCTGCTGATAAAACAATTAGTACAAAGTTTGTTACTATTCTGAAATAGACATATATGACAAAACTAAATGTTGAGAGAGAATAAAACTTAATGAAACAGAAGTGGTCTGTGCGCTACTTTAGTGTATAGCAATATAGCGACTACCTGTTGGACGTCAGCGTCCTCTCCTCGAAGACAGAAGTGAAGGGCATTATTCCCCTTATCATCCAAGCTGTCCAGGTCTACTACGGGTTGTGTGGACGAAATAGGTTCAGTACCATCCTCTACAACACAGCATCACAAACAAATATTAACTGGTAAAACACTACAAAGCTTGTTTGGATACAGAAATTTTGTATCAACATAACAAAAGTGTTTTTATTCATTATAATCAGTATAGGTTTTACTGAATTGAAACCTGCCAATCACTACTGAGATTACCTGGGCCCGTATTCATGAAACCGTCGCTTAAATCATTTCAAATGATCAAAAAATCAAATGTAAACACTGAAACAGTATTTAGCTTCAAGTCTCTTCAAATTGTTTCCAAATCTTTGAGAAAACAAGATGTATTTATTAAGTTACAACAAGAACAAGAATTTAGGCTTGAGCACAGAATCCATTCTTGAGCATGAGAACGGTTTCATGAATATGGGCCCAGGTAATTCAGTTGGTAATAGCACAGTAATCAAGGTATTGGTACCCTCACCTGTTCCTATATAGTTGTAAATTACAATCAAGATACAAGTTTTTGGTCCCTCCACCTATACATACTGTAGATAAAGAAGCTCTGTGTATATAAACTACATCTAAACCCCTATATCTCCAAAGTACTGGGATGGTGGCACTTCAGAAATAAATTAAGTAGCCATATAAAATGACACTGAGGTCTGGCCAACAGTGATAAAGATGGATGGAACAGATTTCTATCCTTTTCTTTTCACCTCTATCATTACATCAATCATTTAAGCAGTCTCTTTCATTTGACCGGTAGGAACCTTTCGGATAGCCATGGCGACAGATCTCAACGTACCTCATGTATACAAGGATATTTACCCAGATCTCAATGCGCCTCATGTATACAAGGATAATTACCCATATCTCAACGCACCTCATGTATACAAGGATATTTACCCAGATCTCAATGCGCCTCATATGTATACAAGGATATTTACCGAGTCCGAGGAAAAGGTTGATTGTTTTCACACTTCCATGGAGAGCGGCCACATGAAGTGGGGTCAAGCCCTTGCTGGTCTTAGCCTCACGGTCCACAGAGGGCTACAGAAAAACAAGTATAACAGGCACATTTAAATTTACCTGTGATAATATCCTCATTAATTTACAGAAGATTTCTGAACTTGATCTGACTTGATGGTCATTTTACTTGATTTCTCATACTTAAAAGTTATTGATCAATATACACTGCCCGACATATCTCAGAGCATCTGCAAATAAATTGCACAAGTTACCATAATTTTTATCTTTGAGGACAAAGGTACATCTGTTGGTAAGCTAACCTTAAACTAGAAGGTCAAAAACCATCTTCAGCGTGATAGCTGTTGTTGTTACCCTGATTTGCTTGGCACCTTATTCTATAATTGACTGTATGTATTCGGCACAACATGACTATAAGTAATGGTTTATGTTTCAGATGTATATGATTATTTTTACTAGAAGACAATATCTATATTGAACACGATCACTCAAGAAACAAGGCTATATACTGACCATGCCCACAAGAAACTGCACAATGCCCACATGGTCCTGGCAGGCAGCCAGGTGGAGGGCTGTGAAGCCGTCAGACTTTGGAATGTTTACCAATCCTGGGTCCTTCTGCAGAATTTTCCGTATTGCACTGTGAGAAAATATGTACAGCTTATTAAGCCTAAGTATCAGAGATTGTTTTCCAGTAAGAATATTCTGTTCAAGTGCCTATACAGTGTATATAACTATATGTGTCTTTGAAAAGAGGAAAGACAACTACTGAGGTTAAATATTTTTGTCAGTGTTTCCTGCTACTTTTGGTCAGATTTCATCAGACAAAGCCAGAGGCAAAAGGTAAGTTCCTCAATACATATGCAATCTCTTCCACAAATAAAGACGACGTGAGCAAAGACCAACATAGATATACATGTACCCTCCACCCTTTGCCTGTGACCTTTGGCCCTTTAACCTTGATCAATGACCACCAAAATCTAATCGTGTGTAGAACTTAATGTTTCTATACTATATAGTGTAAAAATAAACTGAACTGGTTGAATGCTTCGTGAGCTTTCTTGTACACAAGCTTTCTACTTTAAAAGTGGTCAAATGTGCCCTTGACCTCTGACCTTTGACCGTGACCAATGACCACCAAAACCTTGACTTAAGACCAACAAAATCTGATCAGTAATAGAAATTGATGTTGACTTACTTTGGTGTGTACATGTATAAGAACTAAATGTGTTTAGAGGTTCGTGAGATATCGTGTACACAATTATTCTGGTGTGGATGGATGGATTGCTGAACGCATACAGATACAGATACACTGACAAAAACATTGCTTTACAACTCCTCATTAAGTGGGGGTATAATAACAGTGCTGTACAGTATTATAAACAAAACCCTAATGTAACTAACGGTGCAAAAAGGAAATATAATTAAGTTGTCCCACTGGGACTTACGAATTGTCTCCATCCACTTGCTAGTTGTGTCCCTTGACTTACTAGTTGACTCCCTTGACTTAATAATTGTCTCCCTCCCTTGACTTACTAGTTGTCTCCCTTGAATTAATAATTGTCTCCCTCCCTTGACTTACTAGTTGTCTCCCTTGACTAAATAATTGTCTCCCTCCCTTGACTTACTAGTTGTCTCCCTTGCGAGCAGCAAAGTGTAGTGGGGAAAAGCTGAGTCGGTTGAAGTAGTTGAGTTGTACACCCTGCCAGTCAACCACTATGTCAATAAATCGCTTGTCCCCCGTAGATATGGCATCAGTGATGGCACTGTCACCAAGGTTGTCCTACAACAGTTCAATATAAGATGATTTAGCATCACAGCACCAATATTAATGCTTATGTTTCACATCAAACAAAATCCTTACGATGAACCTGATCATTGAAAAAGTTGTACATCAGTTTCTTTACAAAAAACTACTATTTTTGATAATTTGTAATTTCAATCAGTTGAATTTAATATTTCATCAGAACTATTTCCATCTCATCCAGCTGCTGTAACGAACAGGTAGAGCAACAGAAAGCTACATAATATAAGTACACAGAACAGTTATACCCACCTTCCTATTGATGTCCAGTTTGTGCTTTTGTAGGAGTGTCAACATCTTTATGTCACGCTCCTGGACTGCAATATGTACAGCTGTCTGGCCGTGACTGTTGGTCACAGTTTTCTTTACTCCTGCATTTAGGAGGACCTCCACCACATCTGGGTACTTCCTATAGTAAAACACACAGGAATTTTATGCACATTAGGCAGTATTAATTTTACATAGAAAACAGTGTAATAGGGAGAAAAACACTTCTTTTACACACAGAAAGATGTATGACAGGATACAATTAAAGACTTAAAGGCCCATCAACACGCTAAGGACATGAAAACGACACAATGTGTGAACTTAGATGAGGAGAAAGGCTTAAGTACAAAAATTGTATAAAAACAGTAGATACAGAAGAGACATTAATCTATATTGTTGTGTTTGGTTCAATAGATTTATTTTGGCTTCTTTAATGCCAAATATAACCAGGTGACAATGAAGAAGACTTCAGACTCTGCAGGGCCCTACATTAGTTGCCTCATACAATCATGCAGTGGAAAATAGCAGGTCTACCCTTCCCTTGAACCTGTACAGATTTACAAGAAAGAGGAAAGTTAAGCCATATGACTAAATCATCATCAAAGATGATGCAAAAATAAGATATGCCACATGATGGGAGGAGAACTTGTTGGTGCTTTAATTTTAATTGTCCTGCTTGAATGCGCCAGTACATTTTTGGAACATCCACAATAACAAAGACATGAAACCTATAAGGAAAAACCTCTGGTCAGTCCTGTTTGAATTACACGAAATTATAACTGCTAAAATGAAAAGTATTTCAAAGTATCCCAGTCAACATCGGCAAAAATCACAGCAAACATTCAAGTCGTTAAATTACGGAACAACGACAGTCTATTATGATATATTAGTAAATCTGGAGACGAATATTTGTACATACCCTGGTATGTCCCTATTATACTAACTTACATATTAATAACCAATTATCAAGTTTAATTTGCACTTAATCGCAAAGCAGAGACAAGTATGTAGGCCGCAAAGCAGTGGATGTTTTTTCAAGTATTAACTTACTTTCTGACAGCCGTCAACAGTGGATCACTCTTGGAGCTATCCTTGTCGTTCCTAACCTCCAGGTTGCAGTTGGCGTTGACTAGCTCCTTGACAACATCGGTGTGACCCAGCTCACACGCTGTGATAATCAAAGGTGGTTTTCCCATGTCTCTCTGGTGATTCGAAAAAAGTATATTGATTCTGGATAACGAGATACATTCACCGTGTTCTTCTTTTTCAGTTTCCAGTTACTGCACAAATATTAGTCGAGTAAATATGCATGCATGAATGATTTAACTGACTGGACAGAAAACATACCAGAACATAAAAGTATGTATCAATAAAATAGGTTTACAATGCAAAACTGTGAAAGAAATGTAATAACTTATTAGAGAGATGCGCGTGTTATCCATATATTTGTTATACACAATGAAGGTCAAGCTCGTTAATCAAATTTAATTAATCCAGAAAACCTGTAAAGAATTCCCCCAATTTCCCTCACAATGAGTGTCCTCCTTAAAATAGCAATTTGTCTTTCATGTCAGAGCTTTTTCAACAGTGAAGGGACGCATATACATTTGTTTATTCAAATAGTTTCCTGTTCAGAAATTTTATCAACACATCAAATGCCTATGTGCTGTAAAAGTGGAATTTTTGGCGTTGTGACATTTAAGACTAATCGTAGTGTGGAATTTTTGGCATTGTGACATTTAAGACTAATCGTAGTGTGGAATTTTTGACGTTGTGACATTTAAGACTAATCGTAGTGTGGAATTTTTGGCATTGTGACATTTAAGACTAATCGTAGTGTGGAATTTTTGACATTGTGACCTTTAAGACTAATTGTAGTGTGGAATTTTTAGCATTGTGACATTTAAGACAAATTGTAGTGTGGAATTTTTGACATTGTGACCTTTAAGACTAATTGTAGTATGGAATTTTTGGCATTGTGACATTTAAGACAAATCGTAATGTGGAATTTTTGACATTGTGACCTTTAAGAATAATTGTAGTGTGGTATTTTTGACATTGTGACCTTTAAGACTCATTGTAGTGTGGAATTTTTGGCATTGTGACATTTAAGACTAATTGTAGTGTGGAATTTTTGGCATTGTGACATTTAAGACTAATTGTAGTGTGGAATTTTTGACATTGTGACATTTGTGGAATTTTTGACATTGTGACCTTTAAGACTAATTGTAGTGTGAAATTTTTGGCGTTGTGACATTTAATACTTATCGTAGTGTGGAATTTTGGCATTGTGACGTTTAAGACAAATCGTAGTGTGGAATTTTTGGCGTTGTGACCTTTAAGACTCATTGTAGTGTGGAATTTTGGCATTGTGACATTTAAGACTAATTGTAGTGTGGAATTTTTGGCGTTGTGACATTTAAGACTAATTGTAGCGTGGAATTTTTGGCTTTGTGACATTTAAGACTAATTGTAGTGTGGAATTTTTGGCGTTGTGACATTTAAGACTTATCGTAGTGTGGAATTTTTGGCATTGTGACATTTAAGAATAATCCTAGTGTGGAATTTTTGGCGTTGTGACCTTTAAGACTAATTGTAGTGTGGAGTTTTGGCATTGGCAATATTGTTCTGAAATCTATGATCATGAACTCATAGTAATTTTAATTCATTATCGTTTATATTATCCTACAAGTTAATATTTAAGTGTGGATATTTTTACACGATAAACACGATGAACGTGAACATTTCCACACTGTGACTTTGTACAGTATTTGTTAAATTGTTGTTCAATGCTAATGTCACAGCAAAATGACCATGTCATCTGTAACAATACTAGGGTTTACAACCAGACAGACGTCTGTTAATAAATTAGTTATACCACAGCCTTTGTCCCTTAATCCCCAATAATCCCCCAGTACTCACCAGGTGTATATGTTCCTCCAGCATGGTTTTTACACGGTCCGCGTACCCATCCCTGACGACCTCCTCCAGCTCAGCCAGAAGTTGGGCCGTAGACTTTGTATCTGTAACAAATCAGAACACAGCCTTCTTACATCAGACTTGTATATCTCTGTCATATTTGTTTAATATTTATCACAGGAAACTGAAATTTCTATCAAATAACCCCAGTAACATATTTTATATGGAACTCATTGTCTGAAAAGACAAAATATTCCTCATGACCTTGACAAGATCACATGACTGTTAACACGACCTTGAAAAGATCACATGACTGTTAACACGACCTTGACAAGATCACATGACTGTTAACTCTTTCCGTACCAGAACTCCGGTCTGGACTCCGTACTGGATGTCCTTACTAGTCTCGCCCCACAAATATAACAAAATGGCGGATTATTAATGTAATTTTTAGACGAGGTGTAACTGCTGCAAGAAATAAACAGGTAACCATGAATAAATGTTGTTATTGTTTCATGTTGCTGTTTAATTTATAGACAATGAATCTTCATTTTTGCAGCATTATGACTTATTGGCATCTGTCTATTACTGAAAATACCCATAAATTTCGTAAAGTCAGATCCCCATGTCCTAGTGATGTTCCATGTCAATTTTGGTCAAAATTGGCCCAGTAGTTTTGAGGGAGAAGATTAAAATGTAAAAAGTTGATGGACGACAGACGACAGACGCTGCAGTATGCCATAAGCTCACTTGACCCTTCAGGCCAGGTGAGCTAAAAATGTATACTTTGCACCTATAAAATATTTCTTTCCCACTGATTGGTGCTGATTTAAGCGACAATTAATTGGATTACGCGACTGTCCTGTGCTATAACCAGCTAAACATAAGACAGGTTACACCAAGTCTCTTGTCGTGTGTACACGACAACGGGGATGAGACGGCATATGATTTTGTCGTCTGTATTTATACAACAACGGGGACCAGGATGACATATTCTTGTCACGTGTACATGACAATGGTACGGAAAGAGTTTGCATGACCTTGACAAGAACACATGACTGTTAACAGGACCCTGACAAGATCACATGACTGTTAACACGACCTTGACAAGATCACATGACTGTTGACACGACCCTGACAAGATCACATGACTGTTAACACGACCCTGACAAGATCACATGACTGTTAACACGACCCTATGAAGATGGCCTCAATTTTGTAGTTTACAACTCAATCAGACCTTGATGTGTAACAGGGGTTGTCTTTTCTGCAGCGACTGGAGACTGGGATGGAAGTTTCACGCTGGAGACCGGGATGTCCCTGGCCTTTGGTGGCTTCTCATCAGACAGTGTGTTTGGATCTCCATCCCTGGCCTTTGGTGGCTTCTCATCAGACAGTGTGTCTGGCTCTCCATCAGCTGGGTCCAGGACTGCTGGGTTGAACTGCAACCTCACTGATCCAAAAGTCAAGGTGACGTCACCATAGCGATCTATGGAATGGACTTTGCCCTTCTTTCCAAGTGTCTAAAAAGGAAGTGCTATACATGTACATTGCACATCAGAGCAACAAAAGTGATACAAAGTAGGGGTCAAATAGATGCAAGACTTATATATGCACAACATGCAAGAAGGGGCTACATGTAGATATTTCTAGATCTAGAAATCATCTTAAAGATATATTAGACAAGAGGCTGATCTTCAACCTGAGCATGATATTACTGCCATAGAAGATTCAAGTTAGAAACTAATCAAAACCTTTATCTAGTTTTTTCTGCACTGTTCGCCTCTTTAAAGGAGCTATTTAGTCAAACGACAACCTGAAAATAGAGATCGATACTCAAAATATATATCTCCTAACGAAAGTCTACGTAGTTGATAATGACATGACCTGAAGCCAACGTCCAGTGTGGTCAGTTTCAACTTTTGGGAAAGCCGTGATAAAAATACCTACGCCCAAAATAGTACAATATATAGTGAGAAGTAAACATGTACAGCACTACGCTGTCAACTGACAACACAGTGTCAGTTATGAGTCTGAGTTCACATATAACACATTCTTGAATTTACACAATACATCACAAGTAAGAATTGTAAGTATCATGTTATATACCTCTAATCAGATATTTCTTTTCACATTTGGATTTGAATAAAAAAGAACAGGTTCAATTAGAGCATGCAAGCACTGAGAGGGTGCCGCAGGGATATTTCAAATCGCAGAAAGTATGATATCAATAGGTTTAAACGTAAAATAGATCACTCATTTATAAAGATGTTTGAGATGGTGTTGGAAGATGATTTTGATTCAGAATAGATGGATGTACTTGTATTCCAGAGAGGCTAGGTGAATAAAGCGTTATCTACTCTCCTCAGCTGGAAAGACATTTTTGTTAGCTACAAATTCACCGACAGCTGCCGCTAAATGCACGGCTGCATGCATGTACAGTAAAGGATTTCTCCATTACTGATTAAAAATGCCAAGAAAACGTTGTCTGATTTGTCATTTGTCAATTGCTTGACATGAATTGTTCATAAGAAATATCAAATTATATAATCATGAAGAATTTTGTGGCAAGATTATAAAAACAAGAGGCCCATGGGCCTTAACGGTCACCTGATATATTTATACAGAGAGTTGATTTTGTTTTTTAACATGAACAGAAATATTATTCAAAGTGACAAAAAACAATAAAACCACCTTATTAAATATCTAGCATACAGATTTCAGACTAAAAAGTATTTGAAACTAGCACCTCTGATTCTAAACAAGGAAAATGAAGAAAATTTAGCACACTGACTCCTTTGCTTGGGCCCCACCCTACAGCCCTTGGGGGTAGGGCTGGCTCAAAATTTTCAAAGTATCAAACTGTCAATTAACTCAAGGTTATAATTCCGATCAAGTTATTAACATGTAATATTCAAAGTATCATTTGCCATTATAAACCATAATAAATGTTGCCCCCCGCCCCCTCCTTCCCCAGGGGGTAAACGTGAGACCCTAGGGTCATAAATCTTAAGACCCTTCCGTCTATGAAGAGTATTTGATTCTACCATATCTGGGTCTTGAGAAGAAGATTTTTGAAATTTCAGTTAATTCAACCCTTTTTGGCCCCACCCATCAGCCCCTGGGGGTCAGTCAGGGCTCATATGTGCATACTATCAAACTGCTACCTAATAATGATAATGCTAACCCAAATTGAATTACTTCCAATGGAAATTAAACAAATGTTGGTCC